CTCCTCAAGATGACAATGCAGATAATGTGACCCCATTAATAACCAAAAGGAGTGATTAAGCAGACCCAAGTAACTTTAGCGATAGAGCTCCCCCTGCAGCTCCACTGTGAGAATACACTGCCATACAATGTTTTTTTTTTTTTTTTTTAAATAAGGCAGTCTAATCACATAAAAAAACATAATGTGATGGGTATTATGCTTCTATAGAGTATTAACTGCTAATGAAACTACAGCACACAGCATCAGGTTTGTGAAGTTGTAGTGTAATGGTTTAGTTGGTGTCATGTTTGACCATTGGACTTACCACACTAACCATAAGGAGGGATTGAAAAGGTCCTGGGAGAGATCACGAAATTACTCAAACGAGTATGGATGATATCTAAAACCTCTTCAGGCATTCTTTTGATGTTGTAACATGGTAGAAAGCTCCAAAAAGTATATTTTGCATAATGAAATAAGATCGAGGGATTGCCAGGAGAATTTGAGTCAATTTTTCTTTTTTTTTTTTCAAAGTTCGTTCTCTGCCCAGAGACAGCAGGGGAGACACTTCAAATACCCTGATTAGAGGGACTTATATAGACGTTTAATAAGGTAAATATGTTGCTGTATTTTTCGGACTATAAGTCGTGGCGCACTTTTTGGGGGAAATTTATTTTATAAAATCAGAGACCAGGAACCAACATTTCACCTTGAAAGGCAAGTTATAATAATAACAATAGAAAAGAGAACAACAGGCTGTTAATGTCACATATGAACAGTTCTTCAGAAAACTATAGCATAAACAACAGAACAAAACAAGTTTACTCTCCATCAACTCTCCATCTCACTCCAAATCACTAAATCCATTTAATTCTTCATCCTCGGTGTCACTTCTGAGCAACCCCACGACCTCCGGAGGTAAACAGAGCGCCGCTTCCTCTTCTACGTAGCTGTCGTCAGACTCGGCATCAGTTCCAGTTAGAATTATTCTGACGTTTCTGAATCCCGACAGGATGGTTTCGTTTGTCTTTATGTTTGTTTAAATTTTCAGTGGTACAGAAGTAATGGTGTGATCGACTGACATGATACAGACAGGACAGAGGCTCTTTCTGCAGGAGACATGCACAGTAGAGCCAAGTGACAGTGGTACAGGAGTAATAGGAGCAGCGGATACTGACACACAAGCCTAGAGCCTCTCATGGCTGTCAGTGTGAAAATTTTAAGATACAAGTCGCACCAGAGTATAAGTCACAGGACCACCCAAAACATGAAAAACAGTGCGACTTATAGTTTGAAAAATACAGTACTTAGTTCTACTTTAATGGGCATTGCCTTTTTAATACATGAAATTTACAAGTACATGAAGAGGTCAGTTTGTTTGCTTGGGTGCACAGGCCCCCCTCAAAGCTTGAAACGGCCCTGATCCAGAATTACATGTGGCATATGCAGAGATGAGTTTTACTTTATCAGTTCGTGATCACTGAACAATGACCTTATGTTCAAATCATATGTAAAAATTGGCGTCCCTTTTTCAACTACTGGCTTATGGAAAAACAACTATATGTTAAAAGGATACTAGTGGGAAAGCCAGCGCCCCAAACCTAACACATTTCAGAGTTGTGGAGCCAAGCAGACCAGATGTTCAGATGTTTTTTCCAACTTGTAAAAATGTTTTCCCACTATGTTTGTTTACCAAAGTCATTTCACACCCATCTAGACTAATGGCGTAGCTTGGCACTTAGAAGTCTTTTACACTTGATCACCCCTGTACCCCACCAGACCCAACAGGACCTCTGCAACATTTAAACCGCATATGTCAGGTTAGACTTATCATTTTATTAAAACATAGTCAACATATTTATATTTCAGATTTTACTAAAACTCTTGCCTAGTTTTTATTTATAATTTTACTTCCTGGTTGGACACAGGAGGCAGATATGACACGCGTAGTGGTAATTTCATAACTATTACTTGGCAATAATGTTAACAAGGGCCAAAATGTGTCTAAATTGGACAGTAATTCTGATTAGACTCATTAAACGCTCAATGGTGACAGTGCAGTTGTTCTCTTGACAGTGCAACTTTGGTCTGATCCATGGATGATTATAGAGATTTAATAATTCTGGGAGTTCTGTTTAGGGTAGGTCAAATGCTTTTCTCCATGGAGATGTTATTGCTTTGAATGTTTCACAGTTTGGTATTAAACCTTTCCATCTTTATGGAGACCAAACCAGACCAAATTACAGGTCAGGTCTGTGGAGCAAGCTCACAGTCAGAGTGACATGTTTTTCTAGGTATTTTTGAGTCTGTAATTTAGTACTGTATTTTTCAGACTATAAGTCGCACTTCTTTTCATGGTTTGGTTGGTCCTGCAACTTATACTCAGGCGTGACTTGTATATTAAAATATATAATTTCACATATTAGTTATTTTCACACTGTGCACTTGTGTGCCAGTGTGTTGGGTGCTACTCCTATTATTCCTGTACCACTGTCACTTTGTGCGGTACTGCACATGTCTGCTGCAGAAAGAGCCGCTGTCCTACTGCAAATAGTGAAATATTCAGCCAAAAAATATAATCAAGCAGCAAAAAGAAAGTTTGGAGTGAGCAAGAAACTTGTGAGGGACTGGCAGAAAGCCGAGGATACTCTAACTGCAATGAACAAAACAAAAAAAGCTAATCACGGGCTAAAAGCTAGATTTAGCTAGAGTTGTCAGAGTTCCTCAGAAGTGACTCAGAGGATGAAGAATTCAAAGGATTTAGTGATTTGGAGAGAGATGGAGAGTTTAGTAAACTTGTTATTTATGCTATAGTTATCTGAATAACTGTTCATATGTTACGTTAACATACCAGACGCCAATTCAGCCTGTTGTTCTCTGTTCTATTGTTATTAGTATAACTTGCCTTTCAAGATAAAATGTCAGTTCCTGGTCTCTGATTTAATAAAATAAATTTCCCCCCAAAAATGCGACTACACTATACACTACGTTTTTTATTCTTCATTATGCATTTTTTGGCTGGTGCCAAACTCCGGAGCAACCTGTAGTCCGAAAAATATGGTACATGTAAGGTAGAGCTGTTTAATGTCACACTGTGGAACATTCCAGGCAGAGCAATGGCATATCCATAGAAACCAGCAGGTGACCCAAACCAAAAAGTTACATTGTGCACCTTTACCCACCACAGTTGAGCCTGTTTAGCCGTTTCTACATGCAGTTATTCACCATTAACATCTTGGTTTACTGGCCCTATCTGCGCTCAAATGTTTTCCTGTGCATCCCTTTGCCGTGCCAACAGTTACTTGGCGGTGGAGCAGATGAGATCCGGGGCCGATCCCTCCGCAGCCTGCAAGACGGCCATTTCCCGAATCAAGAGGCATTACGCGGACTTCTTCGGTGCCATCATCTGTGCCAACACAACGGGGCATTATGGTGAGTGTTTGGGCAGCGGACACACAGCCAAATGGAGAGAGAGGAAGAGGAGGAAGGGAGAGCGAGACCGCAGGGGGGAGCGGGGGCACACCTGACACACAGCCACATGTCAGGGTGATGGGCACGGATGCACATTACAAGGTTGGCCTTTAGACAGAGCGCTGGGAAAGAGAGGTTATTACCAAAACGTCAAAAACTGGAAAATGAGGTTTTTGCTAAATGGAATTCCAAGTTGATATTACCAGGATTTTTTGCATCACTAAAACATATGCTTTAATACGTTTTGTTGAAATGCTAATTTATAATTGCTATTACACATTTTTACTAAACTGATAACAATATAAACATAGACAAACTGTAGTCTTCCAAACATATTTTTATGCATTACCTTTCGCATGCCAAATATCCTGATCATTCTCCACGAGGGGTGTGCAAAAATATAAAAATATCAATATATATCGTATCGCTTAATGTGATGATACAGTATCAATATCGAGGACTGTATCGATATATCACCAAGAGTATTTGTGGTATATTTTACTAAATTATTTTGGTATAGCGCTACAGTTTTGTGGTTTGTTTAGTGGAAGGAAACATTGACATTTTCACTGTTTTGTTGAGTAAAATTGTGTGTTTTAAGACTTACGACTTTTAGTGTCACAACCATGGTTTATTTTTTATTTATTGAACCGTATCGAATCGAAAGTGCACTGTATCGAGATAAGTATCGTATCGTGGCCCATGTATCGAGGTATGTATCGTATTGGCGGCAACTAAATGATACCCAGCCCTGTTCTCCACGATGAGCTTATAAGCACCTTTTACAGCTTTCAGAGGCCAGAGCAGAGTTTGCCGTTAGGGTAATGCCAACGACTAGCATGCTAACAGTGCACTTCCTGGTTAGGGAACAGCAAAAACACTTTAAATTAGAAGAGACTACTCTGTGCTGTCTCTCTCTTTCTCTCTCTTAAATTTTATGATGATTATTTATGTTTTGATTAGTTTTTATTGTGGTTCTAATATATTTGTTATTCTGTAAAACACTTAGAATTACTTTGTGTACGAATTGTGCAATACAAAAAACTTGCCTTGCCTTATTTTAAGTCTAATAGCTGCTTTAACATAATGTAACTTTACACCTTTAACATAATGTAACTTTGTGGAAAGTGCAAAGCAAGCTTGGGTTAAGATTCTTTTTTGATAAATGTTCATTCATGGTATTTTATTTTTTACATGCAAAAATTTAAGAGGAAAAAAGCTAGAAGGTTAGTTGATTTGCAAAATGGCTGTCATAAAAAATAAATAAATAAATAAATATATATAATATATATATATGTAAAAATTCACAATTAAGCTACTTTTAAACACTAAAAAGATGAATTATACGTTTTGTGAACCTGTTGTATGGACCTCATGGGCAGAAAGTTCCTAGTTGCAACTTTTCTTCTGTGACCCAGCAAAGAAAAAAGGTTTTATTCTAATAATTTTCTGTTCTTCATTTCTTTTCCTTAGGGGCAGCTTGTAACAAAGTGGATGGATTCTCCCAGTTCTTTTACACAATCTCAAATTCAAAGACTGATGCACCACTCCTTTTGTCTGTTGACTGCTTTTGAAAAATGCACTTTAAAAACCAAGAATAAATGACCAATCTCTTATATCTTTTATATAATTTTAATCTGTAAATAATAAAGTTAATATTTTCGATGGCTCGCTTCATTCTTTATTGAACATAGCATAATTTATATAGCTCTGAGCACATGTATACAAGCGACATAAAAACATTAAAAGTTACAGAAATTATTTGGTGTTCACAGGCACAAAGTTACAAAAGTTAGATAAAAATACAATACATTTGTTGCATATTTAAAGAGGCGGTATTACTTGCTAATTCATAATATATTTAGATCACCATGTTACCTTTTATTGTTTTGAAAATGCTATATTTGCTTATAACAAAGTATTCATATATTTAATAAGCTTCAGTTTTGTTTTTGAAGCTCTTCTTCATGAAATTACTGCACATCACATCAGGTTTGTGAAGTTGTAGTATATTGTTTTGTATGAGTCCAGCACCAGGTCATGTAGCCGCGGGGACCTGACGGGTATGGGCAAATAGTTGCTGAAACGGGCGCGATTTAATGTTCTGGAATTTTACGGGCAGGTCTGGACTAAATTAAGACAAAACTAGGACTAAACCAGGACTAAACCAAGTCGAAAGCAGGACTAATCTTGGACTTGAGAGCGAAACCCGTGGAGCAGGGTATCCGCAAAGCCCAATGGGGCGACGGCTCCGCTTACCTCCATGGAGTGCAGACCTCTGTGCCGGTCCTTTCGCCTGTGGTCACCCGACAGTCTACGCGGGCACACCTCTGGGCCCCTCCTGACAGTGAGTTCTGGTTCAGTCCTGGTTTAGTCGTCCTGGTTTAGTCCTCCTGGTTTAGTCCTAGGTTAGGATAGTCCTAGGTTAGTCCTGGTTTAGTCCTGGTTCAGTCTGTGGCCTGTGCAAGTGCAAAAGTCCGGCATAATGCGTGTGAAGTGATGACAGTAAAGTCGCCTCTGTGAATTCATATTCTTACTGAAGAAAGCGTAACCGTTTCATTTCATTTTATGATTGTAATTCTTGAAGTCATAACTTTTCAATTCGTATTCTGATGGATGCTTTATTACATTATAACTTGGTATAAAGTTCCAAAAACTCCACAAAATGTAAAGAAGGGGTATAGTTGAGTTACAGATATGATTTGAGGCACAAAAGTTACACATTTTCAAAGTTTGACAAAACTATACATTTGTTGCGTCTATAGATTTAGCGAAAACACACACAGCAGCAGTTTTTTTTTTTCTTTACGCGTGCCCTACAGTACAAGCCCGCTAACAGCCTGGTGCGTTCGCTGCCCACTGGAAAAAGTCACATTGTTTACCCTTTATCAAACTGCAGGTATAGAAGTTCCTGCCGTTGTTGGGGCCTAGTTTGAGAACTGTCCTCATTAGGCAGCGTTTCCCATGGTGACAAAAGGGGAAGTGCGAGTCGGCCCACTGCAACACAGGAGAGGGAGAGAAAGAACGCGCCATTATTAACTCGGATTTAAACTTATCTGAGGGATTTAAATCTGATGCAGACCGCAAACTGTTCAGGCGGCGAGGAACTAAATAATTATAATGTGGAGCGCTGGCAGGTCAAAGCTATTACTGTGGAAGAGAGTTGTTCAATGTTTTGTGTTGACATGAAGTTCACAATTAATTTAATGCCGCCAAGTTTTATAAATATAACTAGTGTTACTAAGTACTACTTGCTAAAGATACTAAATACTAAAATACTATAAATACAAATATTTCAAAATTCAATACTAAGAAATTCATTCAACACCGATTACGATGGCTAGGGATGCACCGATATGATACTTATTTATTTTATTGGGACAGGGCATGTTAATGGACAGAAGTTTATTTGGTCGAATACGTTTCACAGCTCATCCAAGCTGCTTCTTCAGTTCTGAATTTCTCCTTTTGTCTTGTTGATTCATCAGCCGGTCTCCGCGAAGTGAAACTGCGCAGCATTAGATTTTGTTCACTTTGTTACTTTTTTTATTTAACCAATCGCTGCTATTTGGTTGTGACGTATGTAATGTGCCGCTGTTGGGGATAACTGGTATATTAAGCTTTTCCCAAATCCCGTAGGAAGAAGGACAATAACGTCTTTCCCATTCATAAAATTCACCAGCAAACCAGCAAAAAGTCTGTTTTATGACACTGGAGCTGTTCTAATGACAACAAAACAGATAAGCACTATGGTATTGAAGTGGTTGTATTACGCTATTTTTTATCTGTTATAATGTTGTTTCTTCATCAAAAACACACCTGGAGTTGTGTTTTATTTCATCCACTGTGTTTTAAAACTTCACATACCTTCATTTGAATCATTTGGATAATGATCTGAAATTGCCAAACTCTACTAGATTTAAGGTAACAGGCTGATGGTAATTTTACTTAAAAAGTACCACCATGGGACATCACAAGGTGGAACAGAGCATTTTGAGCTTTGGTGATGTAGACTGTAAGGGATTTCTCACAAAACACAACTCCAGGTATGTTTTTGATGAATGTAAACAACATTATAACAAGGCTTAAAGCTCATAAGAGTCATTTTGCGTAATATAGGACCTTTAACATCATGGAACAATATTCAGCATCATAGACCTTTAACCTCATGGAGCAATATTTGCTGTGAGACTCGATCATTGTACTGCAGAAATGTTACTTCTTTGTTAAAATGCCCCCGTCATGACATTAGTGCAACCATTACAGCAATATTTCAAAGGATTAATAGTGGAGAATGAGGTAAAATACAGTAATTTCTTCAGAGTGACAGCCTTGAAGCAGCACAAAAGGTATTGGTCATCTAGTTCCTTTTACCTTTTTATAATTCTGTTGCATTTTAACCCTGGGCAAAATGATAATAGTGTGATTCTTTTGACAATGGAAAAAACATCACTGACATATCTGTGCTAAGTTTCGCATACATTCCCATATTTTATTCTATTAAGGCAATAGATGGGGTGTTAACTTAAGCATCATAAAACTACAATCAACAAACTCTGTTATAACCCAGATTATTCAATTTTGTAATTATATTTTACAAAGTGAGAAGAAAAATTTGTGAATTTAACTACAACTTCATGTGAAATCATGAACCTTAAACTTAGACTGGCACATATTTTATCGTTAATGATACACTGTGATATACATGGAGATGTAACATTTGGAATACTAATATAAATGCACAGGCACTGCAGCTAATTTTCCTCTCCTTTATAAGCGGAGGGAGACAGCTACTGTGGCTCATAATTGCTTTTGCTTATGTCTAGAACAGGGGTCGGCAACCCGCGGCTCCGGAGCCGCATGCGGCTCTTTAGCACTCCCCTAGTGGCTCCCTGGAGCTTTTTCAAAAATGAGTGAAAATGGAAAAGGAATGATTTTTTTGGTTGTTGTTTTAATCTGGTTTCTTTAGGGGTAAAACCCTCGTTCATCTCTGGTCATGGATCTGATCCATCAGCTGTGTGCAAATGCAAACACATGAAAAGTGTTTCAGCTGAAGCGGGGGTGGTGTCCGGTGTCTCCACCTGAGAAGAGCTTTCCCCGAAAAAAAAAAAAACAACAACAAAAAAACACGTGCGCAGACGGACGCTCAGAACAACATATAACGAACCAAACGGGATTCACGCTTCTGTCCGGATGCTGCACCCCCTCGGAACCAGCAGCGGTCGAGCGCGAAGGACCAGAGCAGCCCGGACCTGTGGTCCACAGCGCATTCTCGCTTTTCCCGCACGGAACCAGCGCACAGATGACTGCACTGAAGCACTCGGACCCAGTTCTTTGCACGCTGGTCTTACTCGTCCCCATCTGGAACCAGGACATGGAGGATGGAGCTACATGCTGCTGTTTTATGAGTGCTCCTATGCACGATCAGAAGAAATGCGACTGCTGCTCTGAATACTTCCATCATCGTCGTCAAAGCAACAGGTAAACGTCAGTCGCACTTTCGGCGCGTCAGCTCCTAAAACTCCGTTTATCTCAGTTTACACGCAAATGTGAAACCGGAGTTTTCCAAAATCTCCACTCTAGCCAGAGTTTTTAGAAAGATTCGTTTTCAGAGGCGAATTCACCGTTTGCGTGTAAACGGTGTGTACAAACGAAGGGAAATGTCTCAGTTTTTAAAAATATCTGTGTACGTGTAAACGAGGCCTAAATGACAAAGGAATAAATACTAACCACCTGATTTCAGTGGCTACAGACGGCACACCAAGTATGAGAGGGTTGCAAAAGGGGTTTGTGTAATCATGAATGCTCATTTTGTATTTGTAACCTACTTAGTCATTTTAATAGTCGGCTTATATAGCTAATATACTGACAGCCTGTGTTGCCTTCATATTAGGCTTATATAAGGCTTTTAATTTTTTGCAGCTCCAGGCAGGTATGTTTTTTGTTTTTTTTGGGCCAATATGGCTCTTTGAACATTTTGGGTTGCCGACCCCTGGTCTAGAATGACTTAAAGGCACTGTACCCCATTTTCAGCATCTTAAAAACGTGAAAAACTGAACTAGTGCATTTTAACACATTTGCAGTGGTCCAAAGTTATTCCTCACTTATTTATGTATTTATTTGATTGGGACAGAGCATGTCAATGAACAAACATGACACAACATGAATGTAAACACACCAGATTGTAGCCTAAGGCTAATTTCCATCCATTGTCCCACTTACCTTATGCATTCTGAGCGTGTGTTTCAGAGGACATCACAACATTCTAATCAATCAATAATGTTTATTACAGATGGGAACAGCTGGAATTAGCATTGTTAAAATGGTGATAAACATTATAATACATTGAGTTCTTGGGTCCGTCAAACATAGAAATGGTCAGTTTCAACATTTGTGAACCTGATCATTTGTAAAATCAGAAAACCAATTATTCACTGCACTGAGGCTACATTTATACGATGACGGTCTGAACAGAGGACGCAGACGTCGCGTCTTCACTTTTTATTCATTTAGCGTTTTCGAGAGGAAATCTGTGTGCATACGGTGACACAAAAGTGTGTGCAATTTGATTGTGTATGCTTGTACTTAAAGCAACAAAGGCATCTTTGGACATACGGAAGATTTCACCCCACGCATTTTCATCACCTACTTCTTCCACAATAGTTGTCCCACCATCGACTGGTTCTCCCAGGTCTCATCCATATCCGTCTGTGTCGCCTGCAACGAACTGGTGCATCCAGAATTTGACAGAGGTGATTGCAGATCATTCTCTTCTCACTAATAGTATCTCTGCCTATTCTGTACATTTGTTGAGTTGCCTCCTGTAAGTTTATTAGAGCTGCCAGAGCAGCTTGAAGGTCTGACGAATGGAAATGATCTGACATGTTTGTTTCTGTGTACTGTATGTATGTGACGTAAACATGTACGCAACGTGAGCAGATCTGACCAGAGTTCTGCGTCTTGAGGAGTGTAGACAGAAACTCTACAACGAAGCATATTCAACTTTTCCACTCTGGAGGTTGGTTTCAGATTTTTGCGTTTTTAAGCCCCAAAAACACTGTCACGTCTAAACAAAGGCACTTCTGATAAAATATTTTGTCGTTTTTACCTGTAAGCAGGCCCTGACCTTACAGGTGCTTTTCTGCCATCATGGTAAAACTAACAAAAACTAGCATGCTAATGTGCACTCCCTGATTATTGGGCAATAAAAACGCTTTATAATTAGTTGCAAACAGAACACAGCTGATCTGTTTTGAACTTAAGAGCTGCTTGTACAATGTATTAGCTGTACTGTGGCAAGACAAATTTTGTTCAGAAGAGTGGGGGAAAAAATAGGACCTTTAAACACTGATTGCGGAGGCTCTGCAGAGGCTAAAACTCTAATTATGAAAGAGGTAAGATTTCAGGAGCGGAAGCACAATTTATAGCTAAAACTTAAATAGCTTGAAAGTAAACCCAAGCAGCCAAATATTGCCAATTTTATTGTTATCGGAAATGTTCTCTTTGATATTTTTAGGTCATATTGTCCTGCCCTAGCCACAACAGTAAACACAACTATGGGATATCTGCAGAAAAATTCCATATCACAACACCCTGACAAATGTGAACTTACCAAGCCACTACTTCAAACAGCCCCTGCCCTTTACATCTGCTAACCTTCGTTTGTTTACACTCCCACTCCTAATGCCACGATGATAAACCTGGTCAGTTCACCTCAAAGAAGTTGCATTTGGTCTCCGGGGGCAGTGAGCAGGTGTAGAAGACGCGTCCCTTGTTCTCCCCGTGTTTGTGAACCACTCGCAGGGCAGCTGGTCGTCTGTGGGCGGAGCAACACGGCGCGCTGGGACACGGAGGCGCGGAGGAGCTGGGGCTGGCTGCTGCTGCTGTCGCCGTGGGAACGCTGACAGAAAGAGAAAAATGTCCTATTAGAGGGAAATCAAGTGACAAGACAAACCGTTCCTCACGGCCATGACAGGTCTGAGGACAGAGGGAGTAGTTTGGTGGAGTATTTTAAAAAACGCTGTTGTGATGATGGGCTGTTTAGAGATGTCACAATGTGAAATTTGAACAGTTACTGAGAGAAACACTAGAATTTAACAATTAGGATAGGATTTGTAGCATTAACAAAAAAATAACTTTTAGAGGTTACCACAGTGAATTAACTACCTCCATCTTACTCTGCACTATTCCCTGATACAACTGACTTCATTTTTTTTTCTTTTCACAAAACTACTGACAGTTCTTTGCTTTAATTACTTAATGTTCATTTATATTTCTACAGATATGGCTATTTTTCTGGAAATTAGAGAAAAATGTAAGAGTAAATAGTGTGATGAAATTCGATAACAGTCTCGACAGAGTTTGATTTTGATGCCTAAATGTTAATTTTAAAACACAAAATAACAACACAAAACTAGAAAAGCACTCAGAGAGCGCAGACCTCCGCCAAGGACGACCCCCATTTTTTATATAAATTGCGATAAAATCAGTCTTCTGGATCAGATCCGGATCAGCCTTTGGAATATGAAAGAGGATCCCATTGTCCATCCCTGAGTCAAATTTCATGGGGTTTGGTCAATAATTAACCGAGATATTGAGAAACAACCTTTTTTGGCCTCATTTACCACAATGTTAACTAAAATTTCAAAGTGATCCAGAATCCAGGATTTCTTCCGGATCACCCCCAAAATGAAATCAGTTCTTCCTTTTCACATTTCCAACAAATCCTGAAAATTTCATCAAAATCGGTCCATAACTTTTTGAGTTATGTTGCTAACAGACAAACAAACAAACAAACAAACAAACAGAGAAACGCCGGCAAAAACATAACCTCCTTGGCGTTTTTATATTAAAATTATCATCTTTATTATTACTATTACTGATCTGTATAAATAAACTAAACTTTACAACATATAAACCATAACCACTGTAGAGCCACATCAGCTCGTTTGAGATTATAATGTGTTTAATGCAGCTTTGTGAACATTTGTTTACGTTTTACAGAAACGAACCTTAAAAAAGCATGGCTTATTTTCATAAACTATAACATTCAGTTTATTGATTAAAAATTAACGTGATTGACAAAATTCTTAAAGCCAATTATCAATCAGTCGACTAATCATGCCCATCCCTAATATTTACACACATTTAAAATAGTGATCTTGGCAAGTATCAGTTAACAACAACAGGAAAGGCAAATATGATCCCTCGTCCCTAGTCCCTTCAGCAGTGAGGTTACTGTGGTACCTCCTGCAGGTTGGCCAAGCTGCCTTGGGCACACACCACATCTCCAGCCCAGTGAGAGAAGTGTTTTGCCCAAGGACTGATCACAGTATGTACTGATCGGAGCAGGGATCAAAGCGCCAACTTCTGGTTTATGAGCAAATACTTCCTAACCAGTGCATCCCCAAGTGAATCCTGGTTTTTGTTTCGACTGCAAAAAACACATCCTTAATAAAAATAAATAAATTATAGTGTATGTGTGCAATGTGTGACAAACTAAACTGTCTGTAGTCAGAGCCCGTGTTTCCCCAGTTACCAAAGCGCTCTCCCTGTTATCCTATCCCACCAAACACACTTTTTATCCCAAATTAACTAACCCCTCTGAGAGTAAGTTGCCATGCCTAAGGGTCTTCCTGCTTTATGGCACTTTCAGATCGGAAAACTTTCCAAAAATCCTCCCATTTACCTCTGGGAACACGGTTTCTGGCAAGACGAATATATTTTTGTCCACGATACGATCCACGCTATACCCCCACAACACAACACCTCAACTACATATAACGATGCGTGGATCCACATATGGGTCACGATAACATATGTACTCAGCTATCCATCATTCTAAACTTAACAATCCCGCGATGAGATTTCCAACATTTTTCCCGCTTGCCACTTATCTCCCTGAAGTTTCACACACAAAAAAATCTTATTATAAACTTATTCATGTGTAGTGGCTCTCACCGTGAGTTGGGGGTCCCGTTATCAATTCTCATTTTCTTGGATGGGTGACTGTTTTCCCCAGCGGAGTACCCGTGCTTGTCCCAGCCACCAGAGGCATAATTGGGGCTGCTGGTCCCTTGGCAGATGTTGTGTTTGTGTGAACCTTCCGCGGTAGAATTCAGATGAGAGCCGCGCGGGGAGTTTAGCGGCTTTAGCTGGTGGTGGTTGCTGCTGTTGTTGTTCTTGTTGGGGGTGAAGTCGGAGAAGATCAGGGTGGAGGTGCCGAACGCGGACCTCCAGTTGAGCTTGAGGTCCTGGTCGGGCTTCTTGAAGGCGGTGCAGGGGTATTTGATCAGGTCGCTGGGGTAGGGGGAGGAGTCAGGGTTGGTGGGTTCTGTGTGGACTGTGAAGTAAAAAAAAAAAAAAAAAAAAAAGGTTAAATACTTTTTGTTTGTTTGTTGTAGACTATAGAATATAATGTAGGGCTGCTCGATTATGGAAAAAATCATTATCACGATTATTTTGGTCAATTTTGAAATTATTAAAATGATTAATTTTTTTGTCACATGACTGTAGTGGACCAAACAGAAAGGCAAAGACAAGGTTTAAAAAAAAAAAAAAAAGTTTAAATTTAATAAAGCAAAAAAAAAAAAAAAAGATGTAACAAAAAGATTTAACAAAAGGCACAAATTAGGTAAATTATTAAGAAAAAAAGCTGGGCCCAACTGGAGTAACTTAAAACAAAATGAACAGAACAAAACTAGAGGTATTTAAGTACCTAAGAACCAACTAACACTGAACACAAGAGGGGTCAATTACACTAAATAATTAACTGAAACTACTAACTTAAAGTAACAAAAAGGCAAATAAGTATAATACAGAAAATAATAAGTGATAATAAAGTGTCCTTAAAGCAACTAGACAAACAAACTCAGTAAAACGAACTAAATAGTGCTCTCCTCTTTGGATGGGTCCTCCGTCCAGCACTCAAAAACCCCCCAAAAAGAACAAGTGTAAGTAAATAATTCAGACTTATTTTAACTAAAATGTGTGCACCCAAATTAGAATATAATAAATAAGGAATTAAATGTTGTGTGATGTAATTAACTTAATGTACATAAAATGAGCTTAAATTAAATAATACTGACACTGGCACCATAACGATGCATTTATTCATGTATTTCTCTCTCTCTCAATCCCCCCCCCCCCCCAAAAAAAAAAAAACACTTACGCAAAACTTGAAAATAAATATACACTACGAACATGTACCTTAAAGCAGCTTTGTGATGTATAAAACATAAAATGAATAAAATATATTTAGAACATAAGGCATAGAAGGACATAAATGTATCCAGAATAAACTATATATCCAGCTGTTCTCTTCAATCTTTGTATTTAAAAACTAAAATAAATACACTTATTTATGTAAAAAATATCCCAAAATAAACTTTGTTAAGCCGTTTCAACTCGATTATATGACTTTGAAGATCAGTTGACACACAAATCGAAATTGCGATCAAAATTCAATTAATTGCACAGCCTTAATATGATGTCAGTGTTTTTCCTATTTATTATTATTAACAGTAGTGAACAGACCATTGAAAGTCCAATAATATTTTGAAAAATGGCAATACAACATTTCTGCACTCTGTATCTATGAGCCTAGAAATTTATTTTATTTATTGTTTAATAGTCACAAGTGAAAACTGAGAAGTAGGAGGAGATAAGGGGCAGTAAAAAAAAAGAAAAAAAAAAAAAAAAAAGACTGAGACTCAAGCATTGAAGGAAGGATAAAGATTACTCACTGCATCAATCAATCAAAACACAAAGTATGACTAAGATAATGATGAGGGAACACAGTTATAACATGGATAAAATCTAATAAAAGTTAAAAACACGCACACATACACACTGAAAAACAGACTAGCTGAACACAAACAGGCTATAAGGACCTGTAAGCCCCTGTATTCTGTAAAAGCCTAAAAATCTGTGGAATTGAACATATTAAAGAAACAATAAGAGGAGGAGATAGACTCAAAAAACTATTACAGAGAGAGTCCTTCTGGATCTACACACTCAAGGCTACCTAGTCTCCAGGACTCAATGGAGAGCTACATTTCTCCTTCTTCCTTTAAAACTACAAGCTTTAAATGTACAATCTGTTCCTATTTTTGACATCTTTGTCTCCATGAAACTGTTTAAGACTAACCCTCTAATATATTATACAAATTATACATATTGTTTCTGTAGCACTTTTGTATTTTTTACACTACTGTATTTTTCGGACTATAAGTCACACTTTTTAAACTTTTTTTGGGTGGTCCTGTGACTTATATATTAAAATTTTCACACTGTCAGCCACGAGAGGGCGCTCTAGGCTCGTGTGTCAGTATCTAGTACTACTATTATTCCTGTACCACTGTTACTTCGCTCTACTGCGCATGTCTCCTGCAGAAAGAGCCGCTGTCTCGCTACAACTAGTGATTCAGCTGAAAACGATAATTGAGCAGCGGAAAGAAAATTTGGAGCGAGAAACTTGTGAGGGACTGGCAGAAAGCGGGGATGGAGAACACAGCTTCAAGGTAACTGGGCGGGTGCGTCATGCAACTTTCCTGGAAGTCACTGGATGATTCGACAAAGCCTGAACTTCAGTGACAACGAAACCATCCTGACGGAACTCAGAAAAGCCAGAATAATTCTAACTGGAACTGATGCAGAGTCTGACAACAGCTACACAAGCAGCGCTCCTGTTTACCTCATGGATCTATGATTTATCTCTGGTTGGAGGTCGCGCAGTAACACCGAGGATGAAGAATTCAATGAATTTTGTGATTTGGAGTGAGATGGAGGGTTTGGTAAACTTATGTTCTGTTGTTTATGCTATAATTATCTGAATAACTGTTCACATCTTACGTTAACATATTAACACCTATTCAGCCTGTTCTCTGTTCTATTGTTATTACTATAACTTGCCTTTCATGATGAAATGTCAGTTCTTGGTCTCTGATTTTATAAAATCCATTTCTGCAAAAAAAATGCGACTTATAGTCCGACGTGACTTATGTTTTTTTTTTCTTTTTCATTACGCATTTTTTGGCTGGTGCGACTTATACTCCGGACCAACTTGTAGTCTGAAAAATATGGTATATATATTTTAATAGTACCAGTAAAAGCTGAAAATGTGTGTGTCTTTGCAAGGAAGTTTTTTGTTTTTGTTATTAATATATTTATGATTTATTCTCTTTATTACGTTTTTGTTTCATTTTAAATTTTAACACAAAGGAAAATTCAGGTGCGTCAGCGGTGAGGCCACGGCAATTTTCCTTATAACAAACACCATATCAGTGCAGGTTTTAATGTTGAATTTTAATAGCAAAGACTGTGGAAGCAATTGTCTGCTTTTAACACCTGGCAGACACAATTTTTAACCCATTTCAAAACAACAAGAGGAAAAAAAACAGAGTAGCTTTAAATTACAAACCGAGCATAAAATTTAACAAGTGAGCAGTGGCCGTGTACAATCTGCTGCGCTGATGAAAGCCTTGTGCAGAATCCAGGGAAATGTGTGCCCATATAAAAAGTTAATTATTCCTCTAATGACAGCGCTGAATGCACAACATGAGTCATTAGTGGACTGGGGATAAACAGGACTCTTCCCTCCATCAGCAGCCAAATGAAAATGTCCTTCTGCAGAGAGCTCCCTGTATGCTGCACTGTACGCACACAGACACAGGCTTACAATAATGACACTGTAATGATGAAACTGCAGGATCAAACGTATGCTAATAGTGTGAGGGGAAGTGCTTTGTTTGTTAAAGGCGAGCTATGAACTTAAAACGCAACTGATAATCATTTCCTAATTAATAAATCAAATGTATCTGGAGGTTATAGTCGGCCATATGTTGTACTGCTCTTATTGTCATTTATTGTACATAGATTTGTGGCCTTACAATCCGTATCATTCGTTCAATCGTTTTTGAAAATAAAACCAAAAATAAGGAAAAATAAATAAATAAATAAAATCTTCATTATCTGTCTCCAAATCCAAAATGAAAAAAAATTATAATAATTTGTTTTTTTCATTTTTCTATTTTGTGTTTAAATGAATAATGGACAAAATGGATAACGTCCGTTTCTCGTTTAGGGCCAGACCGGGACTCAGACCAGGACTGAGACCGGGACCAGACCGGGACCAGACCGGGACCAGACCGGGACAAGACCGGGACTGAGACCAGGACTGAGAACAGGACCAGACCGGGACTGAGACTGAGACCAGGACCAGACCGGGACTGAGACCAGGACTGAGACCGGGACCAGACCAGGACTGAGACCGGGACCAGACCGGGACCAGACCAGGACCAGACCGGGACCAGACCGGGACCAGACCGGGACCAGACCGGGACTGAGACCAGGACTGAGAACAGGACCAGACCGGGACTGAGACTGAGACCAGGACCAGACCGGGACTCAGACCAGGACTCAGACCAGGACTGAGACCGGGACCAGACCGGGACCAGACCGGGACCAGACCGGGACCAGACCGGGACCAGACCAGGACCAGACCGGGACTGAGACCAGGACTGAGAACAGGACCAGACCGGGACTGAGACAGAGACCGGGACCAGACCGGGACTGAGACTGAGACCAGGACCCAACTGGGACTCAGACCAGGACTGAGACCGGGAAAAGACCGGGACCAGACCGGGACCAGACGGGGACCAGACCGGGACTCAGACCGGGACCAGACCAGGACTGGGACCAGAACCAAACCGGGACTGAGACCGGGACCAAACCAGGATCAGACCATAACCATACCAGGATGAAGACCAGGACTGAGACCAGTTTAGTCCTGGTTTAGACTTGGTTTAGTCCTGGTTCAGTCCTGTTTAGTCCTGGTTTAGACCTGATTTAGTCCTGGTTTAGTCATGGTTCAGTCCTAGTTTAGTCATGGTTTAGACCTGGTTTAGTCCTGGTCTAGTCCTGGTTCAGTCCTGGTTTAGTTCTGGTTTAGTCCTGGTTTAGACCTGGTTTAGACCTGGTTCAGTCCTGGTTCAGTCCTGGTTTAGTCCTGGTTTAGTCCTGGTTCATTCATCTTTCTTTTAAAAGGTACAACATGTTAACTTGGACAGTAACATGGATTTTTTTGTTGTCTCTCCATTTTGAGAGGCTCCGACCAATCACGTCGCAGCACTGAGGTTTGTGAATGGTCACATTTGGTAATATTTCTATTCCACCTTCAAGGCACTCAAAGCGCTTTACAACAAGGAACCACTCACCCATTCACACACACATTCACACACCAGTGTACGCAGACACTGTGGGCAAGGACGGTTAAGTGTCTTGCCCAAGGACACAACGGCAGCATTCATCTGTGGGAGCTGGAATCACACTAGCCAACCTGTGGGTCAGTGGATCTGACCGCTCAACCTGCGATGTTTATGTCAAGAGTTGGATTCGAACCGCCAACCTTCAGATCAGTGGGCGAATGCTCCACCAACTGAGCTACTGCCGTGAAGTGAGCAAACCTAACTGAACATGATGACGCCGACAGACGTACTATTTTGGTAAAAATATGCCCTATTTTCTTTGTGAAAACCGGGCAGAAGGTACCGGTAAACCCTTCATGCATACAACTGTTTGATTTAATATTTTTTGGGAATGTTATTAATCTTGCATACCTTTTTTTTTTGTGCTGCTGAATTTTCCTCAGGACAAATACAAGTTCTTTTATTTGATTTTCTCATCTTGGTGAAATGCAAGGTTCAGTCAACCTAAAATGACAATCCAGAAAATTGCAACTATAAAAAGCTGCAGGTATGCGCGAGGACTTAATGGAAGGTTGAAAAATAAAATTCCAGATGCCAGTAGCGGTAATTATTTTCTTTAGGCCAAATGCTTTTCCTGAGCAACCAACCCCCTTTACTACTGTAACGAGACAAAGCAAGTGACTGTGCGAGTCAGGGGTTATTACTTTCTGAAAATGAGTATGAGGAGCCACAAGTGTGTTGGCGAACCAATAACGTCCATGTATCTAACTGTAGAGCGTCTCTCAGAACAGGAAAATAAAGAGTTCATTTGAGAAAAAACGCCTGCATTTCTTTAGTTGTTTGATCGATTCACTGGTTGACTGTGCCATAGATGAACAAAATTTGTAGTAGTCGATTTTGATTATAACGAATTATTTGCACAAAAGCAGAAATGAGGAGATAGGAAATGGATTATCTAAAGATTTGGGAGTGAATCCTGTTTAATCTGCTTTTGCCATATAAGTACACTTTTTCTTGTACTTTTCTGTATAAAAATGTATTTTTGTTGTAGCATTTTGAGTGTGGTTACATGGTCCAATCATAGAGATATTATATTGTTTAAGAGCTTTTGCCACACCCTTTTTAGTCGACTCACCAATCGACACAGCTTGTCTTTAATCAACCAAAAATTCTCTGGTCGATTACCACTTAAAAAAGTAATTGGAGGCTTGCAGTTTACTCTTTGTTTAGCCAAAAGCCAAATGTTTTTACTGCAATTAAAATATTTTATTAAATCTGTAAAGATAGGTAACAAAAAGAAAAATACTTTTTGCAATTTTTTAAAATGGTGATATCGGTTTTTGGAATTGAACAATGTCAAATACAGCAAATCTGTAAAATCGGTACGATCACTGAAACTATATCCTGTGATTCGAAACACTGAATACCTATATTAAAATGTATTTTGTAACATACACTGATACATGACCCAATCAGAGCCCTGTATTCTGAATACATAGAATAATTTTACTAGCCAACTGGAGCCACCTAGTGCCACCGCTCAATTTAATTTCTCTCCAGTGACTAGGTCAGGAATCAGAATACACTAGACGGTTTGCAAGAACCCCCGGAAGTTGTAGACCGCGCACCAGCCAATCTGTGAAGCCATGTGAAGAGCTGTGAAGCCATGACGTCAAACTCAAGCGCCTGTCTGGGTCCCTTTTGTGGTACAACACAACAGTAAACAAAGCGGTCGAGATGGATGTAGACGAAGACAGACATTCTGTGTTGGCAACGATTCCCCAGAGCTGGAATAAAGAGAATGTCTGGTGAATTTTATCTAGGGACGTTATTGCCCTTCTTCCTACAGGATTTTGCGCATTACATACGTCACGACCAAATAGCAGTGACTGGTTAAATAAAAAAAGTACCCGCCTACCGTCAAACGGTTTCCACAAAATGAAACCGGCTCATGAATCAGGCTATACTTTTACATCCAGTTGCATGTAAATTATACAGTAAAGAAGCAACATTGTATTAAAAACAGCTTTATATTTGTTTCACAGCATTTCCCATCACGGATCATGGAAAAATCACACATGCACTCACCAAGAGCAGAGTTGTCCTTTTTTCTCACTGATTATGTGCAGTTTGAAGCCTAAATTGCATAATCAAATACCATAATGTATTCCTTTGATTATAGAAAAGTAATTGTATTCTGGAGACCACCAAAAAAGAAAATTAGCCTTCAGAATACATATTCTTGGTGCATGTATTCAGTTACTTCAAACACACACAACATATATGTAAAAAAAAAACTAATATCTCACCATTTTCTTGCAACAATGGCAAAGTGCTCTGTGGTTACTCCACTTTTCAATCTTGTGCTCACTGAAACGAGGAAGATTCCAGACTAACTTCTTTGTACAGACTATGAAAAGCGTCTTGGCTGACCAGTTCTTTCTTAACTTAATGAAGTTATGCACTGATGAATAACAATTAGGAGCTTAAGAGGCAGGTAGTCCTTCTCTTATTGAATAGCCTCGCTCACCCTTGGGTCTGGCCGTGAGGCAGGCGTCACAGGCTGCGCACGCTGGAGGGTTGATGAGGGTGCACACTTCACAGGTCCAGTCCTCCTCCTCCTTCTTCCCCACACTCTCCTCCGGCTGGTCCCTGTACACCCAGCCAATCAGACTGTTCCTCACCGGCAACGTACTGACGAGCACAAAAGAGAAGCAACATCGTTTTAGAAGATAATACTGCAGTTAAGGCTGAAAGATTTGAGAAGTGCAATTTTTCTGACAAAGATTGAGATTAGATTTGTGATTTATATTACACAAAATGGATTCTTGTGAGATTTAAGCCATGTTATAATGTTATTTCTTTCTCAAAAACGTACCTGGAGTTGTGTTTTGTTTCATTCACACATGTTTGAGTAACCCTTTATTATTAGTTTGTTTACATCTCCAATGCTCAAAATGCTCATTTACATCTATTTGATGTTATGTAGTGATCATTTTCAATTTGACAGCAACCTTTTACCTTTCATTCAGAAGAGATCGGGAAGTCTAGGGTTGAAATCATCCAAATGAATCTAGTGTATGGTGTAAACTGTACAGACTTTAAAAACACAGTTGAGCATTTCATATATCTCAATTACAGGTATGCTGTGATGAGTAAGGATGTGCAAAAACATTGATATATTGTATTGTTTAATGTAATGATACAATACTGATATTGTGGAGTGCTGTAACGGTATATTGCCAAGAGTATTTTTTGGTATATTTTACTAAATTATTTTGTTACAGCGCTACAGTTTTGATGCTTGTTCAAAGGAAGGAAACTCATTTATGCAACACATTTGACATTTTCACTGTTTTGAGGATTAAAATGTGCCTGTTTCGTATTCACTTTGCACAGAAGTGGTTTAACAAAAACTTTCAGTATCACAGCCAAGATTTAATCTTTATTTTTTATTGAACCGTATCGAATCGATTTGAAATATAATGTATCGAATCAAAAGTGCACTGTATCAAGGTATGTATCGTATCGGTAAAGTCTGAATGACACCCAGCCCTAGTGATGAGGAAAAAACATTATTACATAGATCAGAAAATAGCTTAATAGGACACAGTTCAAAGTTCAAATTGTAAACACATCCAGAAGAATTGACAAAAAGACTGAAACATGAACTGGCAAAATAATACAAGACTCACATTTCAGAACATTTTTAGCCATTTTTATGCAAAATGAGACAAGATATTTTTGTTGTTTGTGGAGGAAATAATGGTACGGCAAAAACGGCTTTGTGATTTGCTAATTGCGTCCATTCAAACTCTGATTTCGATTGCATTATATATTATTCTTGCACATTATATATTAGTAATTTTAAATGCACGGTTTTGTATTATGTTTGTTTCAGTGTACTTAGAAAACCAATCATGGGCCAAAACCTTGTTAATGCTCAGTTTTCATTTTATACTAGGATTAGACTGCACCATTTGCATTCAAAACGAAATCACCATTTGAATAGTAGCATTTATCAAAGGCAGAAACTGTTTAGGTAATAGAAAGTCCTCTGCAAACAAAACAATGCACTTTTTATTGTACTGAATAAAAGATACAAATATGAATTGTTATTTTCACTTGCCAAGTCTGTGGTTGAGACCAGTGGTTAGCAAAGTGGGGGTCATGAGACAGATAAGGTCACATTTATATAATTATTTATTATACTGTTTTTAATATCTCCCTATCAATCCCATTTTGGTGAATCAAGGTAAACTCCATCACAGCAAAGCTTATGGATAGCTGCAGTTCATGACAGAGTAGAGCATCAAGGATTAAGAAACAGGGAGAACAAAGTAATAGAGAGCTATGGGCAGGGTTCCCACTCTTTTTCACTGACAAATTTTCCATGACTTTTTCATGACCTAAAGTGAGTTTTTCATTACTTTAACGCACCCTTCATGAGTAAAACTGATCAGACTTTTGGGACTCATCTTATGGTTTGGTATTATAGTTTTTTTAACATTCCAAATACTGTCAGTGCATTTATTGTCGTCTCTTTTAAACAAAAGGTGCATACGTTCAGAAATAATCATAATAGCATAATGATAACTTAACAGAACGCTGTAGTTGCATGAAAGAGATACTAAAATTCCATGACTTTTCCAAAACTTTCATTGAATTTACAAAATTCCATAACTTTTTCAGGTCTGGAAAATGACATTTTCAATTTCCATAACTTTTCCAGAATTTCCATGACCGTGTGAACACTGAATGGGTGTGTGTGTGTGAGTAGGGGAAAATGGGATTATTTGGAGCTATGACGTCTCGAATGCAGTAGAACAAAGATTACTCAAATATACATCAATCATTCTACTGTAAATACAACTTGGAGTGAGTCAATTGATCAACTTTTTTGCTAGATAACTGTATCGTTTTAACAGTATTGTCTACTGTTTCCTAGCCTTATTTTTTGCAATTTAAGTGCAAATTAGCTACATTTACAGTTTGAGCTAAATAATGTCAACTTTCAAGTACTATGTGACATCACGTAGGACAGCCAGGTGGTTCTGGTTACAAACATCTGACAGCAGGAGCAGAGTCTGAAGTGTTGATACACTAGACTTTTCTTTATACTTCCCAAAACCGCCCTAAGCCAGGCTGGTGCCACTTAGTGCCTTCGCTCAGTTTCATTTGTCTCCCGCAACTAGGTCAGGAATCAGAATACACTAGACGGTTCGCAAAAACCCTGGAAGCCAATCAGTGAAGAGCCATATATTTTGTGTTCTTAACGATTCCCAAGGTCGAGGATTTAAAGCCGGGATAAAGAGAATGTTTGGTGAATTTCATCAAGGGGAAAGACGTTATCGCCCTTTTTCGTATGGGATTTCGGAAAAGTTTAATATACTAGTTAGCCCCGTTAGCTACGCATTAAATACATCACGACCAAATAGCAGCGATTGGTTAAATTAAAAAAATACCCGCCTACCGTCGAGCGAATGAATCCTAACACTGCAAGGTCAGACAGTTTCCATGAAGGGAAACCGGCTGATGAGTCAGGCTAACCCGCCCCTCCTTATCCCCTCATGCTTGTCTTTAGTTCTCCAGGTACTGCCCAGTTTAGCAGCTCTGTTTAAAATGTGGTTGTGAGCAGAGTTTAGGTGTCCTACTTTAAAAATGGATTGTGCAAAATATATCTCCTTGAAGTTTTGATTTTAGATTTCCATATTTCAGTATTCCTTCTTCTCATACATCCTTGTTGTGTACACCTCTCCTCTACACAAACCACACGTCGACTAAAGCTGAGGCTGGAGTCAGTATGGCGGCAGTGTCTCCTTGCGTCCCTCTGAGCATACACTGTACTCTGTGTTTAACAAAAGAGTGGATTGTGTGTGCCAACAGTCGCGGGGGCAGACTGCTCCATCAGCTGCGGAACGTGCTGTCAGGGCATTAGCGGCTAACCCCACCAAAGCCTCGCTCAAACACAGTCCAGGAGGTGTGGAGGCTGCACCCTGCCTGGAGAACACCACCATCTCTGCGCATTCATTTTCCCTCATAACACCTCCCACTCCGGCCCGCTCCATCTGCCCACAGACACGGCCTCTCCGCTGCAAGTTCATGATGGAAGTTAAAGGGATTAGGACGTTTCTGTATCGGGGAAAAATATGGAAAAGGGGTTTGATGTGCTCTTTAAGATGTACCTGTGTGAAGATGAGTCAGACTGGTGGAGGACAGAGGCTGTGTCCATGGCTGCTGGTGGTTTGTGAGTCAGCGCATTTCATTTTAAAAACAGTTTTGAATGAAATGTGAAATTAATTTTGAATCTAGACTTTTGGTGTTATGAAATAAAAATTATAAGGTTATGTTTAATGTTCCAATTAGAGTAAATAAAACAGTGCCTTTGTAATTAAACATCGGACGTTATGTCATCGTTATTGTTAGAGATGAGTATAAGTATCCCATTTATGATTGGGTTTTTTGAGTAACCTGGTTATGTGAGTGTCCATGTAGACGTAGTATTTTGATTTCAGTACCCTGGATTTAGGAGTGTAACGATATCCAAGTCTCATGATACGATATCGTCACAGTATGAACCTATTGTGGGAAAGCTCACGATATGATGAGGAGGCTCACAATTACGGATGTAACAATATCCAAATCTCTCAATACGATATTTTCACAATATACATCTCACAGTACGATATTTACTGCAATATTTTGTGGAAGCTAAACAGCTAAAACTGTTAATATGCTACTTTTTCCTCTAAAAATGCCTTGACAAGACTTTATCCAAAGAACTAAGACTTGTGTTTAGAACTGTTATTTCTTCTTGTAGTCCACACTGAAATGGAGCAAAGGATCATGGTCTTTTTAGTTATTGCTACACCATTAACTCTTAATTTAAGCAAAAAGTCTTGTAATTTGATTCGATATTATTGTGATAATTTTAACTACATGATATCACGATATTTCGGTTATTGTTATATCCCTGTCAGTATCCCGGTTATGAGCAACCAGGGTGCTCTTGCTGGGTTTTTTCTCTGAGTATTCAGGATATTGTGGCATGTAGACGCAGTATCCTGATTTCTCCAAAATGTTGCTGTACTGAGCATGTGCAAACTCAAGTACCAGATACTGTAGGAGCAGACTCAAACTCCTAATAGGACTTTTTAAGTCTTAATATTTCATCCTTATAAACAAAATAAAGCAGTCTACTGTTTAATACAGCCACCTTTAACACCAGGCTCCCCTTTGTGAATGTTTGTGTTACAGTTTGTTTTGCTCGTGAACTAAACTGATTGCGTAAGACTCTCTATTTTGTTGTACTTTTCAACTGTTAAAGTGCCTTGTGACAGAGCTCCACAGTCTCATGTTCTTACTTGAATGTGTGTCTTCTTTTTTTGTTTTTAGAAACCCGTTAAAAAGCCTTAGGTTAGGTACACGTTTAGCTCCTTGCCATATCTGTACCATACTGACCCTAGGGACCACTCTAAACATCTAGGATACTCTGATTCCTCATGAACCACAGGGACATGAGTATCCTGGTTTCTCTGGGTGCATATCCAGAACACTGTCATAACCAGGATAAGGCTCATAACCAGGATGCTTGTGTGCATGTAAACGCAGTCTGCTATTGGAGGATCCGCTCCGATATCGGTCAAATAGGGGTGTGCAAAAATACTGGAATATCAGTATATCATGATGCTAAATTTGGTGATACAGTATCATTATCATGGTCTTCTGTATCGATATACTGCCAAGAGTAATTGTCCAGTGAGGTTTATTTGGTCTGCCTCCACCGGTAGGAAGACAGCGACAAAACCTGTATAAATAAGCTGACCGGACACGTCACAGGAACATCACATGACCACTTGCAACTGTCAGGTATGAAAACAAACCCGTGGTCTGAAAAAAGAACCTAATGACAGACTGCCAAGTGTATTTTGTGGTATCTACTGATTTTATAGTTCAGATAAAATAAATCTAATTAAAGGAAATTTGTAAACTTTGCTCTGACTTAACATTGGTCCTTGCTATGGATTTAATTTCAAAAAGTGAATTCAGTAAAATTAAGTATCCACAGCAAGCAACAGCAAGACAAATATCGAATATGAGTATCGGCTTTAAAAACCCACAGTCATTTTTCCCACTAACAGTAATTCCACTAGGCAACTAGAAATACTATTGTGATTATTACAAGCTGCTCAGTGGTTCTTCTGGCTTTGGTTTCTGAGTACTTTCTGACTAAGACTTTGCGCTTCAGTGAATATCTAGTGGAGATAATTATATCATATTCACATCATATCATTATTTCACTCCATGAAAAATGATTTTACACAAACCACTCATTCATGCAGTCATTTTGAAGAATCCAAAAGTACTGACACTAGGGATGGGCAATACAACAAAAAATAATCACTTTTTTCTATGTTATTTTTCTTTCACTGTAGACATGGGATTGGCTGATGACCTCTCCATGAAAAAGACCTGATCATTAGCCATTAGAAAAGACAGAATCTCGATCTTGATTAAAATGTGATTAATTGCACAGCCTTAGCTGACACAACGGTTATTAAATCCTTGGCTAATTTTAAAAAGCTTTCAGATGTATTATTTATTCTGTAATATTTAACATTAAGGTTAGTTCCTTCCTCTCAACGCTTTTACAATATAATACATTATGCAAATTACAACTGAATAATTCAATATTATTTAATTGGTGCTATAAAGTATACTGAAGTCTTTTCTTTGTACATCTCATTAAGACGAGATTAATTTCAGTTTTTCTTCAGTAATTATATACTAGATAGACTACATACATTAAGGCTTCATAAGTATTTCAAAGAACCAACCAAAATGTGTTACTAAGTATTAAAATGAAGACAAAACAGTGAGGCAATCCATTTTCAATAACTCACTCTGTCTAGGATTAATACAAGCTGAGAAATAGATTAGGATATTATTCTTTTTTTGCTTCATAAATGAACTGAACAATAGTTACCTAAATTACATGATGGTAATAAGTGGGCATTTTTCAGTCACTGGCATTAGGTTCTCTGGTGCCACTGTGCGTGTGATATTCCAAGTAATTTTCAAAGTACTCAATCATGTTTGCAAACCACAAATAACCCAAGACTAAAAATCATGAGACCACCAGGACTAAATAAATCTCCAATAAAACTTGTAACTAAATCCAGATCATATCAAGGATTTGGGAAACAACAATTATGAAGCAATTAGATTTTGAATTTATGTTTTAATAATAGAATACTGTTCTGTGTTCACTTACAAACTAGTATATTTCAGAACTTGTTTGTATAGATCTAAGCTATAGATAGGGTTAACAGTTTTTTATGCAGAATAGGTCAGGATATTTAGTTTTTTATTGTTTGTGGAGGAAATATTCAATTTTTAAAATAGAAAGGTTGATCTAAAGTTGCAGTAAAGATCACGAATAACAAAATGTATTTATCTGGGGTATAAAGTATTTGTTCAGTGTAAACATACAGTCACATAATAATGCTGTTCAATATCCATTTTGACTCATGAGTCTGTTTAAAAATACAAGATGCACTGTGCACAAACTAGGAATGGCACATGGGCACTTAGAGTATGGAACAGGGCTGAATATCGGTATCGAGATCAACAATATCACTGATACCGATACGAAAACCGATATATCACTAGGGATGTAACAATAACCAAAATATCGTGATATCATGTCTAGGGGTGTGCTAAAATATCGATACACCGATACGTATCGATATTTTTCAAATCGATACAGTATCGATTCTTCGTTTTCTAGTATCGCTATTCCCCTTAGGATGTTAGGGGGGCAGTATAGTCGCGCTTCCACGTCCTTTACTGGAGAAGAGAAGTGCGCAAGAGAAGCGAAAATAGAAAAATGGTAGGAAAGATTTTTAAACCGCCTTTTACTCTAAAAGCAGACGTATGGGCGCATTATGGTTTTAAAGCCCAAGAAAATGGTCAGGGGGTGGACAAGACCAGCGCCATATGTATGCTTTGCCAAACTGCTATCAAATATTTAGGTAATACGACCAACCTCCGAGTTCACATGCAGATAAGCTAGCCTTACCGCCCCCCAAAGAAAAGCATGGACCCAAAACAACCCACTTGGAGAGCCAGATAAGTAAACCATCCTCCAACTATCCGCGTGCACTTAAGATCACAGACATTATCGTGCATTATATCTGCCCGTACAGTGTTGTGGAGAATCCAGGCTTTCGTCTCATAGTAAACACATTAAACACAACGTTGTATGATTCTCACACGTAAACATTTGACGGAGGTGGCGGTGCCGCGAATGTACCAGAGGGTGAAAGACGCAGTTAAAACCAGTCTAAGTGCAGCTCCGAGAGTGGCCCTCACCTGTGATGGGTGGATGTCCCGCGCCACGGAATCGTACGTAACCATTACAAGCCATTTTGTCAACGAACACTGGGAGCTAATTTCACATGTTTTACAAACTAGAGCCATGCATGAAAGTTACACAGGGTCCAACACTGCGGAGCTACTCAGCGCAGCTCTTGAGGAATGGGACATCGCTAGCAAAGACCCGACTATCGTGACAGACAACGCCGCTAATATGAGCCAGGTTCAACGTAAATGTAACCTGGCGTCACAGTGCGCTTTGAAACTACCTGTAGTCGCACGTCTATTGGGTCGCGTGAGACGCATTTCAAACTTTTTCATGCGCAGCGCCACAGCCAGCCACGTACTCCACCACAAGCAAAAGCTGCTGCGGTTACCGGAGCACACATTGATAGTAGACGTTGTGACCAGGTGGAACAGTGCGCACGACGTGCTCCAACGATTTCTTGAGCAGCAACAAGCGAATCTGCTGCTCTTTCGTCAAGTGAGGTGAGAAAGACAGAGAAAGAAGCGCGCACCCTCAGTGAGTCAGACTAACAGCTGCAGAGAATATCCTTTAGATCAGTTAAACTACACGTGCCATTTTTCAAATTATTGTTAAGCTCATAAAAGCTATGAATGATGATGACCAATGCAAATGTAGGTTGCAGGTTTTTGAAGTTGTATGTATTGTTCTAGTTAGAAACATGCATTAAACAAAAATCACTTTATTTTCTTTAATCTTCAATAAATGGAAGGTGAATGCACCATTAATGTTAATTTTTTTTGTAAAAATTGTGTTGATCATTAAGTAAGAGGCTGAAAGCCATTATTTTTTCTGAATCGTATCGAATCGTTTTGCAATATATCGTATCGAATCGTATCGAAAGTGCACTGTATCGAGATACGTATCGTATCGGGGCCTGCGTATCGAGGTACGTATCGTATCGGCAACTTCTTGGTGATACCCAGCCCTAATCATGTCGTCAAAGTTCTCACAATAATATCATGGACCATCACAATATATCGAATTACAAGTCCCTTTGCTTAAATTAAAGAGTTATGGTGCAGCAAAAGCTAAACCAAACAGAGGGAACTACATAGACCAGGGGTGGGCAAACTACGGCCCAGGGGCCATATGCGGCCCTCCTATTTTTTTAATCCAGCCTGCCAAACTTGAATAATAATAATAATCATCTTCAGTCATTTCAATAAATAGTAAATACTGTTGGATTTGAAAGATATTTTGTTGTAATGCTTTGTAATGATTTAACAATAACAGGGGATATGTTTTCTACATTTTATTTTCTATATTATATTATCCCATGTTATTTTTTTTTTCTTTTATGCGCTGGATTACCAAAAAACTACACCCATTTGCTCCTGGTCCGGCCCTTCTGTCAAATTTTAGAACCCCTTGTGGCCCACAAGTCAAAAAGTTTGCCCACCCCTGACATAGACCATGATCCTTTGCTCCATGTTAGTGTAGACTACAAGAAGAAATAACAGTTCTAAGCACTTTTAAGTCTTAGTTCTTTGGATTAAGTCTTGTCAAGGCATTTTAAGAGGAAAAAGTCACATATTAACAGTTTTGTTACTCTTCACAAAATATCGCAATAAATATCGTATCGTGAGATGTATATCGTGAAAATATCATACCGTGAGATTTGGATATTGTTACATCCCTAATCATGAGCCTCCCCACCATATCGTGAGCTTTCCCATGATATTGTAATAAATATCGTAAGGTTCATACCGTGACGATATCGTATAATTGTATTCAACCAAAATCTGGACTTGAACAACAGACATCAGAAAAAAGTGGTACTCAGCCCAGAGTTTGAAACCCCCCGGTAACTTCAGAACTCATCCTGCACCCCAATGTTTTTTATTCTTTTATTTATTAGCTGTATTTTTGGATGTGCCACAGAAGCCTGCAGCGGTAGCGTTGGTTCAGCCTGGATGTGTCTAACCTGACATCCAGTCCGCTGGGATCTCCTCTCTGACAGCGCTCGCAGAAGTACGTCATGCGGCCGTGGTCTCCCAGGCGACACGCGGTGATCACATGACTGCACTGGCCACACTCAGGCCGCTTGTAGACTTTGTAATGTCTGTGCAGGGGCGAGCCGGACTTACGACACTGATGGGGAGAGAGAGAAGCTGTCATATGCATTGGTACATTATACAACACATGCATTATACATGGGGGGAGGGGGATTTGTTTGACTTTTGAAATGTTTTAGCCTGACTTGAGGTGGTCCTTTCACTTTTTACATGAATTTTACATGAAAAGAAAAGATCATTCTTATGTTTTATAGAGATGGGATAATCTCATGAGACAAGATCTTGCAAGACAAAATTGCCAAAATGGGTTAAGGCACGCACTGGTGAGTTACATTTCTTGTTATGGCTGTAGTCACTTGGTCGTAGTTGTTGATTAATCGGTCAGTGGCATAATAAGGATTTCTATGGGACAACAGCAAAGAGGAAATAAGTGAGTTAGCTGACAATTTGGTATTTTTTGGTATTTATTTAAGTAAAAAGGCAGATCATACTGTCTATTCACAAATTTAATCTGTACTTATATAAATACATTGTTTCCTAGCACTTTTTCTGCATTAAAGTCTGTGCAGTAAGTCTTGTGAGCGCAGTTAGTACATTGTAGGGGTGTATCGATATCCAAGTCTCACGATACAATATCGTCACGGTATGAACCTCACAGTATGATATTTATTGCGATATTTTGTGGAGACTAACAAAACTGTTAATATGCCACTTTTTCCTCTTAAAACGCCTTGACAAGACTTAATCCAAAGAACTAAGATTTAAAAGTGCTTAGAACTGTCATTTCTTCATCTAGTCTACACTGAAATGGAGCAAAGGATCATGGTCTATGTAGTTCCCTTTGTCTTTTTTTTTTAGCTATTGCTGCAGCATAACTCTTAATTTAAGCAAAGAGACTTGTAATTCGATATATTGTGATGGTCCACAATATTATTGTGAGAACTTTGATGATACGATATCATGATATCATGATATTTAGAACGATCTGGTGCCACTCGCTCCCACAAATTCATTTGAGTATGGATCTTATCCGCTGATGTAGGTTGCGAAGTAAGTCACCGTCAAAATGCTAAGAAGCTAGAATATATGTCCATTCATATATATGGTTTATGCATATGACCTGCAGATGTATAAATAATCTCTGAAAAGTTTAACATGAACCATCTTCAACGCGACAGAAGGACAGAACAGACTCACCATCAGCAGAACACCCCTGTCTCACAGAAAGAACACTCATATTCCAGTGAGTTGTGTCCTTTAGTCTGACGGAAGCTGAACCGCATCAGCAATAGCGAGCGAGTTTTTTGAGTGCTTAGCCATGCCGTTTTAAGTTATGCTTCTGTAAAACGTGAACAAATATGCTCAAAGCTGTGTGTACTGTAATGTCTGTAAAGAGCTTCAGACAGAGCAGTGCCTACAGTTAGGGTCACACTCCCAGGAAATCTTGATGACAGCAGCACCTACATCTACATCACCTTAAAGTTACATATTGTACCTTTAAATAAGCTTAATGGGTGAAAAAAGGACAACGTAAGGGCAAATACATGATTAGAATATTCAATATATCCATGGGTTTCACAGATTTTGACCAAAATTAGGACCAGTGCCATGGCAACGTCAATTCAAAAGGCCACATGCATAACAGGAAATAGTCTTGTGACTCAAAGCCATGAATTGAATGACAAATATTTCTTCAGTTCTATTTTAAAATATAAAAGGCTCCTTGAAGGAAAAAAAAAACTAGAAATACCGTTTCAGAAGTGCTTTTCCGTTTATGATACATCTACAAATTACTTATGACTGCTTTTTTTGACTACTTTTATGTTCATTACTCATAAGTTGCAGTAATTGACCTTATTAGCGGCTCTATGCTCAAAGTGCACCTCCATTTAACTTTCTGCCATCAGTTCTTCTTTTAAATTAAAGTAAGCCAAAGCTATGATTATGTTTGTAACACAATTTTCATTTCTTTTACAAGGTTGTTTTTTAAATTTAATATATTATGCAAAATTGACTCTTGTGAGCTTTAAGGTGAGTTATAATGCTGTTAACAGAACAGAAACATATCTGGAGATCTACTTTAACTACTACTATTAGTACTACAACAACAACTACTACTACAGCAACTATTACTACAGAAACTACAACAAATACTACAACAACTATGACTACAACTAGTACTACATCTACAGCAACTACTACTACAACAGCTATAACAAATACTACAGCAACTACAACAATTACTATAACAACAACAACTACAGCAACTACTACAGCAACTGCAACAACTATTACAGCAACTATTGCAACAACACCTACAGCAACTACTACAGCAACTACAACAGTAACTACAACAATTACTACAGGAACTACAACAACAACTACGACAACTACTACCACAGCAACTACTACAACTACTACTGCAGAAACTATGACTACAGCAACTACAACAACTACTATGGCAACTACTACAACAACAACTACGACAACTACTACCACAGCAACTACTACAACTACTACTGCAGAAACTACGACTACAGCAACTGCTACAACGACTACAGCAACTGCTACAACGACTACAGCAACTGCTACAACTACTATGGCAACTACTACAACTACTACCACAGCAACTACTACAACTACTACTGCAGAAACTATGACTACAGCAACTGCTACAACGACTACAGCAACTGCTACAACGACTATGGCAACTACTACAACTACTACCACAGCAACTACTACAACTACTACTGCAGAAACTACGACTACAGCAACTGCTACAACGACTACAGCAACTGCTACAACGACTACAGCAACTGCTACAACTACTATGGCAACTACTACAACTACTACCACAGCAACTACTACAACTACTACTGCAGAAACTATGACTACAGCAACTACTACAACTACTACAGCAACTACAACAATTACAGCAACAACTACAGGAACTGCTCCTCCTCCTCCTCAATGTCAACAAGGGCCAAAACGTCTAAATTACAGATTCACTCGTATCATGTCCAACTGTAGTTTGTTGTCATATTCTCTGAAGCGTTATAAAAAGAAAACATATTATCTTAACAGGCCTACAGAGGGCACTGTTGTGTTGATTAGATGCAGGAAATTAGCTGTGAGAGACTGGTAAAAGAGCTGCACACAAAATTGGTCAGTGCTTTGTGGTTAGGCAAGGGTTTGTGGGAAATAAAGCCACAAAGATAATAGAGGATTACTCAAACAGGTTTAATATGCCTGGTAGAAATCTCAAAAATTGGTTTCATATATCCCCTTTACAAGGAATCTTGATCATGAAAATAAGTGTATAAACAACTTTATATACAGTATAAGATTTCTATAGGTTAGCGATTATAATCGTAAGAGAGTTTGTGACATTTCGAATCCCGCTTTCAACATAAAACATCATTGGTTGAGCTGTCAGATCCACTGACCCACAGGTTGGAGGTGTAATTCCAGCCTCCACAGATGACTGCCGTCGTTGTGTCCTTGGACAAGACACTTAATCCACCTCGCCCCCAGTGTCTGTGTACATTGGTGTATGAATGTGTGTGTGTGGGTGAGTGGTTGTAAAGTGCTTTGAGTGCCTTGACGGTGGAAAAGGACTAAATAAAAATGTGACCATTTACCATTCACTACAAAACAGATGGAACTAATATTCAAACTCAATTTCGATACTCTGGATCAGGCTTGATACTCGTAACTGATTTTTTATACCACAGTGGTAGTTAAAAACACTGTAATTTTGTGGTCTTATTTATTTTAAAGAGGGAGTATTACACTTCCATGGGATATTAAATGTTACTGCAGTTCTTTGAAGCTCCCAAATATTTATTTTAATGACACCGCAATGTGATGTTTTGGGTCAAGCCCTTCTCCTTATTAATTGTTAACACATAACATATTTAGATCACCATGTTACCTTTTGTTGGTTTGAAAATGCTATATTTGTCCAAACGAACAAATTAAAAAGTTAAATTAATTTCAGTTCAGGTTCTGTTTTGTTTTTGATGAGGAAACAATGTTATAACATGGTAGAAAGTGTGCTCTATAAAAAAGTGTATTTGATTTTATAGTCGTTCTAAACATTTTGTTTTGTATCAATTTCAGTTCAAATGAGAATCAGGTTTTAATACTAGAAGAGTCAATTATTATCTGGATCTGGATATTGAATCTTTGAAAGCAATCGATATAGCAATAAAGAAAGAAAAAAAAAAAAGTAAAAAGATAGTACACACCTTATAGAACAGCAGAGTGAAGTCCCGTGTCATCTTGACCAAATGGTGGATCTGTTTGTCCGTCAGCTGCTGCACCTTTGAAAACACACCTGTTACATCTCCACAGTAAATAATAGCCATATTTGTAAAGCTTTCATTTCACAATTCAAATCTAGATGAAAAGTGCTTCATGGGCTGCAAATCAATAGTACACAAACAGAGACAATACAAGAATGGGACGTGAGTGAAAAAGTGCCTTCATACACCTTAGACTTAGACAGACTGTATCGATCCACAAGGGGAATTATTTGGACACAGTAGCTCACACATCACAATATAATGTAAAGATAAGAATAAAAAACATAAATAGAAATAAAATATTCTAAATAATTACCTAAGGGTGAGTTGTAGTACAGTTGTAGGGGGTGTTATAGTATGAATATGGTCCTGTATCCGTTTGAGTGGAGAATGAGCTCCTCTGTCCCTCTATAGTCTGGTGCAGTGGGTGAATTGGTGTACAGTTGTAGGGAGTATTATCTGTCCCTCTATAGTCTGGTACAGTGGGTGAGCAGGAGTGTCCATGATGGAGAGCAGTTTGTCCAGTGTCCTCCTGTCCCTCAAAGCGACAAATGTCTCCAGTTCACAGCCAATCGCATGACCAGCTTCACTGATCAGTTTGTCCCTCCAGTGCTGCCGTAGGCTTTGTTGTAGTCTATAACAGCAGCATGGCCGGGGTCAGCCTCTCAAAATCAGGATCAAAATGTCTGAACATCTAGTCTGAACATCTAGTCTGAACAAAGAAAGATTAAGTCTGTTTATCTTTTCCAGTAGGAGGTTTGCCATCTGTTTGTCTCCATGGAGATGCTTAAAATGATTCACGGTTCAATACCGTGAATCAGAAAGGGTTTTACACTTCTGTGATATTAATAGCTGACACATAACATATTTAGATCTGCACGTTACCTTTTATTGTTTTGAAAATGCAATTTCCCCCCCAAAACATATTAACATGTTTAATAAGCTTCATTTTCATTTTTGGCGCTCTGAGTCTCCCCCTCCATCACTCCCTCTTCAGAGTAATATCAATAAGCACGCATTCTGCTAATGAAACTACTGCAGAATGTACCAGATTTGTGAAGTGGTAGTGGTATATTGTTTTGTATCATTGCTTTTGTCTATTTAAGGAAAACTCCCTTGCAAGACCATGGGTGACATAGGTTATGAGGGTTCAAATTCAAGAAATTAATCTTTCCTGAATAGCCTGAGAATGATCTTGAGCTGTATCAGAACAAGTATAAGAACTAGGGCGGGGTATCATTAAGAAGTTGCCAATACAATACGTACCTCGATACATAGGCCACTATACGATACATATCTCGATACAGTGCACTTTTGATTCAATACGATATATATCAAATCGATTTGATACGGTTCAATAAAAAATAAAGTCCTAAATCATGGCTGTGATACTAAAAGTCTTTGTTAAACCACTTCTTGTGCAAAGTTCATATGAAACACGCCCATTTTAATCATCAAAACAGTGAAAATGTCAAGTTTCCTTTCACTGAACAAGCACCAAAACTGTAGCTCTGTAACAAAATAGTTTAGTAAAATATACAAAATACTGCTGTACTGATATAACAATATATCAATACAGCAGTCCCGGATATTGATACTGTATCATCACATTAAATAATACGATCAATATTTTTATATTTTTGCACACCCTTAATAAGAGCACATAGACTAGGATACACTCATGGAATCTCTGGATGACTGAGGAATTACACAGATATAAGACCACATGGTAATACAAAAGGAAAGTTACTACGATTTAATGTTGAAAATGTCATTCTATTGTCTAAATAAAGAGTGCTTTTATTACCATCATGATATAGGAGTTGGTATTGAGTATCAAGTATATTCCTCAGTAGGGGTGTGCAAAAATATCGAAATATGGTTTTGTTTAAGGTGATGATACAGTAAATTATTTTGTTACAGTGCTACAGTTTTGTTGCTTGTTCAGTGAAAGGAAACTCATTTATGCAACATATTTGACATATTCACTGCTTTCATGATTAAAATGTTTGTATTTCATATGAACTTTGCACATGGTTTGACAAAGACTTTTAGAATCACAGTCATGATTTAGCTTTTATTTTTTATTGATCGTATCGAACCGATTTGAAATATATCGCATTGAATTGAAAGGGCACTGTATCGAGATATGTATCGTATCTGCAATTTCTTAATGATACCCAGCCCTATTCCTTAGCATCTAAATCAAGTCTGAAACTTTAGTAACAACACTCACAGCACCGTACTTGTATCTTTGAATACACCCGAGTCAATGGCATGCGTGGACATTTGCTTTTGCAGAAATGATCTTTGTTCTCTAGTCTATAACAGCAGCAAGGTCCCATCTCCCCTCTCAAAGTCAGGATAAACATGTCCGCACAGCCCCGGCAGCTCTTTGGGACACCTAAGGGCGCAGTAATGGAGAGCCAGTACAGATGCAGCGCTCCCTCATGTAAAGGCCCACCGTCCTGATGGATGTTTGTGAGCGGGAGTGTGTGAGCCAGACCAAACCAGGGGAGATTTGCACATCCTCTGAGAAGGCTGATGAATAAAACATGTATTCAAACTGACGGAGCCGCGAGGCCGGGGCGAAACACTGTGGTCTGTTTAATAAGTAAATAAAGACTATAAAGGAGTAAAATGTTGAAATAAAAAGTCAGAATTCTGGTGTGTACAGACTAAAGAGTGGAGACACTGTAAGGTTGAGTAATATTGATTTGATTAGATTCCTCAATAGCAACATTCAGATCATTTGAGATAAAAACACACACAAAAAAATATTCCAGTGTCATCTAAACATCTTGTTAAAGATCAATACCTACACTTGTCACAATGTGAGATTTTGAAATGTGATGTATAGGTGAAGAAAATATAGATGATGAAAAATATATATATTGAAACTAATATTTCGCACTGGCACAATAACCCTAAAGATAGATTATACCCCAAAAAAACTATTCAAAAAACATGAGCTGCAATAAATAAAGAGCTGAATGAAACACTTTAGAAGTTAGTTTGTATTTTTGAGTCATAAAAGTAATTTACTCAAGCCGCTACAGCTCATTATCGTAGTACAGAAAATTACCAAAAAGTGCCTCACAACTACACTATTAGAAAATGCACCTAAAATAAATACTGACCCCAACAAAAGTATTGTTCCATCTAACATATGCTGAATGGTAATGTCAGTTCTTCCTATATCCTAACTTTGGATATTTCAAAACATCATATCTGACACTGAAGGAGAAGCTGCAAATACAATATACGTAAGTACATGAATACATTTGCCTCGGATGCAGAATACACACTTCTTCAACACTTCACAAAGATGCAAGTCCGGCCACAGTCTGGTTCAGATGGGTGTGATTGACAGGTGGATTAGCCATGCATGGTCTGTCCACATCAAAACAAATACAGCTGCTTACGAGGAAAAAAGAAAAGGAAAAATATCACAGGGGACTGAAAAACATTGTAGATTTCTGCAGAATTGATGAGCAAAGCACTAAACTCGAGCTGAGTAAAATTAGAGTATGTTCAAAAATGACAGGTGACCATTGAGCTCCTTTGTTTCACATGCGTCTCTGAAATAAACAAATCTGATTGTACAGTCGTGTCTGGTTCTGGCTCGAGGTGTAACAGATAGCAATGTGAATGTCTGTCAATAATTACTATATAGACTTATTGATCAATGAAAACTAGGAAAACTAGAGCAGTATACTTTGGAGCTTGTGTGTACATTTTCTTTGTAAAAGTGCGGAGAATTTGCGTGTTTTTGTTGTAATGCAATAAGATTTGAGCTGTAAAAGGTTTAATAGATTTTTAGGGTTAAATACTGACCCATAATAGTTAATTCTGTGATTTAATTGATGCAGCTCAGGACTTTTTACTGGGTTTACTGGGTTCATGTTGCATTACATGTGTTAGAGCACATGTGGCAAGGCCAAGGCCCCCAAGCAATTTTATGTGGCCCACAAGGGGTTAAAAGGTATAATTTATTATGTTGTGACTCTGTGACGCTACTACACCTCCCACAATGCACCACAGTTGTTTCCCGTGGAGTGACTGCATCTCGCCACTAGAGAGGCCAAGAAAAGAAAAACTGATGCAGAAGGACAGCTGTTTCATGAATGTTACTGAAGGAGTAATGTGAATGTTTTAACTTAAACCTTTAAATCAAATCCAATCCACTTTATTTCTATAGCACATTTCATAAACAAGTGCTGCACAGTACAGATAAAACATATCCAATAGAAATATAAAGCTCTACTTAACTCTACTAGTCCTCATAAGACAATACAACTAGTAAAATCAAATAAGAGCAAGAATACCAGTAAATCATAAAAAGGTCAAAAACATAAAAATAAACAAAATGAATAAATATGAAATGAAAAATAAAATACAGGCTTTTACAGTTTTGTAACATACCGATATTACAGATACAGTTGCGGTCTTAACTTTACAACTGGCCCTTTGATGACAAACATGATCTAAATGTGGCCCTTGGTGAAACTGAGTCTGACACCCCTGTGTTAGAGGCATAAATATAGTTTCAATATCATTATTTATCTTGCAGTATAGCTCTGTAGCAATACACTGTGCTGCAAAATGTGTAATTGTGACAAGCCTAGTGGTGACCAGACTATCCCTCTGAATTAAAAATACTGTATAAAATGGATTTGCCTGGTAATTACAAGATTATTTTTTATCAAATTAAAGTCATTCAAACTTTTTTTTTTAATATGAATTTTAAATAATTAGAAGTTTGAAAATTGCTGGTAGAAAACAGAGAGTGTCAGATTTCTTGTACACAACTTGCATTACAAATATTATTTTAATTTGGGCATTAGTCACAAAGTTGACAAATTGTCCCATTTTTCAAAGTCAGAAATAATTACATGAGTTAATCTTCCTAACAGCAGTCTTCCCCCTCTATACTATATGCCTTTTATTGTGGAGTTTGATAAATACTAGAAATATAGCTTTGGCTGTTTAAATTTTCATTGCACATTTTGGGTTGTGCTGTTTTGATATGCAATATTAATTAAAGGAAACACACTGTTGACTCATGGATTTCTGTGCCTTGCATATTTATCGAAATGAAAGAAAAACACTTAAATTTTATTAGACCAAAGCAACACAATGCCTGCAAATGTAGCTGTTCTTACCCCATCTCACCTCCTCATTGCAATTCACCACTTAATAATACAAGCAAGGCCCAGAGCTCAAAGAGAGGTCTCACAATATATTCACTTTGTGTTCCTCCACTGAACACTGTGAAAAGTAAAAATATGTAAAATTCACAATATAAATTTTGTTTTTTAGTTTTGACTTTTAAGATTCAGCTAGTTTTTTGCTCTATAAAAGTAGTTCTAAAACTTCCCTACAAGTTCTAGTGCTTTTAAAATTTTCCACATTTTGTCCTCTTACAACTTATTTCTTGTTACAAATTCCTTATTGCGTCATTCTGGTTTGAACCTGTTTAGACCTGGAATAGTTCTCTTCTAGTCTTGGGATAGATCTGGTGCTCGTTGGAGGGCCAAATTCTACCTTCTAGACATTCAAAAAGCTTTACATTAAGGAAACCCTCACCCATTCACACCCGTTCATAGACCACACTGGGAGCAACGGGGGTTAAGTGTCTTGCCCAAGGACACTTAAACAGTATTCATCTGTGGGGAGTGGGATTCAAACTGCCCACCTTCGGGTCAATGGATGAACACTCAACAAACTGAGCTACTCTCGCCCAGAAGTGGCACAATTTTCATTCATTTTGATAATTTTCATTAAAAATATCTAATGAAAGAACATTCCTCTAGCATGTAAATGTTTTCTGAAATCATGGTAATTTTATAAAAACATATATAATAAAAACATTATAAAAAAAAAAAGCAAACATAACGAAAAAAAAGTTTAGATAAAAGTTAGGCAGAACTGAAACAACTTTTTCTCTTCTAAAATTGTCACAAATATATTGTGACATGAATAACAATTAACCTTGACATCTTTGCGGTAAACAGTATATTTACCTTCATGCAGGGCTGTGCAATTCAGGTTGTTAATTCAGTTATTTCTCTATTCAATTACCAACAATATTTAATAATTATAATCTGAATGATATGGGCACTTATTCTGCCTCTCAAATCCTGGAGCAAAAGCACTCGTCTATTCTACTACTAATCTAATACTTCTAATCTACTAATCTACTTCTAATCTAGTCTTTTAAGTGTCACTAAATGTTACTACTATAGATGATTGTTTGAGATAATTGTGATAAAGATTTTTGCCATTGCAGCCCTACCTTGACAGCTGGATGGAGGCCAGAGTCAAACAGAGCTTCGTTCTTGATGATGTTTCCCACTCCAGGCATGATGCTCTGGTCCAGGAGCACATCACAGAGCATACGCCCGCCCTGGGCCCTCACCGCCTCCTCTGAACTTGACAGGCTGAACTTAGGAGAGCACACATCCAGGTGAGAGGAGGAGCGCACCCTCTGCTCACAGTCCTCTGTCCACCTGCAGCACAGGGTCAAGGAGCAGGGTTACATTTAAGGCTTACTCAAAACCACAATACATGAGTGCATTTTCGTGTGTGGGCGTGTGTCATACTGGCTTTGGGAACTGTTTGTAAGTTTAATTTAAAACTAGTATTTCAAATATATCACTTATTTTACCATATGTGTGGCATTTTTTGTCCTAACAACATGAAAATTGGCACTGCACACACCCGTCCCATTAGGATGACAAACTCCAAATTTGAGATCGGTCGGATGAGCAGTTCGGGAGTTATGCGAGGAACAGACAAACAAACACACAAATAGAAATTCCTTGAATTGATAGATCAATTTTATACATTTTACCTATCTGTGTCCTCAGATATGAGATAATCAAGTTACTGATAACAGTTGTAAAGTTAATTTAGTCTTAGTTTTTTTTTTAAATGGACCAAACTGTTATAATTTTCTGTTTGGGTTCTCAAAACAATTATCCAATCAGAAAGGAGAATGAGCCTCACATGAGTCCAACTAGTTTAAACCTAAAGTGCCTCTCTCTGATCTGAATGGTCACTACCTAAACCCCAGGACCTCCAGCCAGTCATTAAACATAGTTAGGACAGCTTCTGCAGCTCAGTAAGTGAATAGGCTCTAATCACGCTTACGTCACAAACCAGGAAGATGTTTGGAAAATGAATGTGATCAGCGGTCAAATGAACACAGCATACATATGTGCTTTTTTGAATAATCTTGAATTTGGTGCCCTCATCTCTTCTAATCACATGTACCCAGTGCGCTCGGAGTTGTGCATCACTGGGGAAAAACTGAGGTATGGTTAGAATTGTTGATTAGCCGAACATAATGGAACGCTAGAACGACATGTAGATGAAGAAAACTGGATCATTTTCTCTTTTTTCCTAGATTTTGTCAAACTCAGTACTGTGAACAGAGCCCGCCGGAAGCTGTTATCGCATGTTTCCAAACGTCTTCCTAGTTTGTGATGTAAGCGTGAATAGAGCCTATTCTGGAGATTCTGAGCTTTCACATGGGTCATGGAGAAAAACTTGTATGTATGTTATGTATCTGCAGGTTTACGCACTAACAACACAGTTTCAGTTGTGATTGTAATAGCTTTTTTAAAAACATAAGAGCACAGGCCACATACAGTTCCTTTAAAGGTGCATTACGGTACAGGGTCAACTGCCTCCCTCCTCTATTTTCCACAGTGTTGCATTAAACAAGCAAGTTGTGCCAAGAGGCCAAGCTACAGGTCAGAATTCAATGCAAGGTACAGACATTTAATTATAATTAGTTTAATACTGTGGAACATTCCAGGTCAAGCAATAACTTATCTCCATGGAGACAAGCAGGTGTGGATCCCACCAGCTTCCCGGAAATTTAACAACCAGAAATCACAGTAATGAGTTTGGCAAATGCTGTGTCTGGAGTGACTTACAATATTTTAAGATGCGGGCAGTGCGGTGAGATGGATCACATACTCAGATTTAAGGAGACCCGTTATTGGGTTAATGTAATTGTTGGTGATAAATTCATAAACAATATTAATATTTAACATGTAATTCTCATACGCAGACATGTTGATAAGTTGTTTGGAAAAATCGATTAATTTTCTAGCAGCCCTATCAACTCTTGTAATGGTCCAGCTGCTTAGGGCGTGACATCCAGGACAGTTGCCAGGTAATTACATGAGTACCATCTGTGGTAATGGATGGAATCTGATTTAAAGTAAAGCGTGAAAAGTATATAGGCTGTTAATGGAGATCCAGTCAATCTAAAAACCGTCACAAAGGTCATACAGTTTAGATAAACATTACTTTTCACAAAATAATCAACATTTATTTTCATTTGCAGAGTTCTACTATCAGGATTCCCACTCTTTTTCACTGACAAAATTTTAAAACATTTCCATGACTTTTTGTGACCTAAAGTGAATTTTCCATGACTTTACAGCACCTACATGTGTAGAATTGATCATATTTTAGGGCCAAATATGAAATGTTAACCCTTTCTATTCACCTTATGGTTTGTATTATAGTTTCTACGTCTCTCTGGCAGCAGGAGACTATGGACCAGTGGACTCACTTGGTCACTGCATCCAACAGATCAGTGTGTGGATGCAAAACAACTTTCTCCAGCTAAACTCTGACAAGACTGAAGTCATAGTGTTTGGTCCACAGAAACAAAGGGACAGTGTCAGCAGTCACCTCCAGTCTCTCGCTCTAAAACCTTCAAATCAGGCAAGAAATCTAGGGGTAATAATGGACTCAGACTTGAACTTTAACAGTCACATAAAATCAATAACATCTGCAGCCTTTTACCATTCAAAAAACATAGCAAAAAATCAAAGGTTTACTGTCTAAAGCAGACTTGGAGAAACTTATCCATGCATTTGTCTCCAGTAGGTTAGACTACTGTAATGGTCTGCTCACTGGTCTCTCCAAACGAGCTGTGAGACGCTGCAGAACATCCAGAACGCTGCAGCTCGGGTCCTTACTCGAACTAGGAAGTACGAGCACATAAGTCCTGTGCTCAGGTCTCTGCACTGGCTTCCTGTGCCTCAGAGAATAGACTTTAAAGCAGCTCTGCTTGTGTACAAGTCTCTCCATGGCCGAGCACCAAAGTACATCTGTGACATGTTAGTGTCATATGAACCATCTCGCACTCTGAGGAGCTCAGGGACCGGCCTCCTGCTGGTGCCCAGAGTCAGGACTAAACAAGGGGAGTCAGCGTTTCAGGTTCATGCAGCTAAAACCTGGAACAGTCTTCCTGAACATGTGAGACAGACTCTTCTGTGATGCTGTTTAAATCCAGGCTCAAAACATTTCTGTTTAACTGTGCATATAACTGAAAGGTTTTTCATTCCGCACTCTTCTCTCCAATTTATGTCTCTCTTTTTTAATTTTAATCTTCATGATTATTTATGTTTTGATTTGTTTTTATTATGATTTTAATGTATTTCTTATTCTGTAAAGCACTTTGAATTACTTTGTGTACGAATTGTGCTATACAAATAAACTTGCCTTGCCTTGCCTTGCCTTGCCTTGCCTTTTGAACCTTCAGAATACTGTCAGTGCATTTATTGTCGTCTCTTTTAAACAAAAGGCGCATACATTTAGAAATAATAGCCTAATGATAATTTAACAGAAAGCTGTAGTTGCGTGAAAGAGATACTAAAATTCCATGACTTTTCCAGGCCTGGAAAATGAGATTTTAATTATTCATGGAAAAACCCCTGTACTATACAACCTGAATAGCCGCAAGAATGCTGCAATTCATAAAGTTAGTGAGCCCAACTTAAAGATGTACTGCATAACTTTTCTTATAGAGATCTGTTACCTGCTTGACATGTCACTTTTTTGCCTGGAAAGTTCCAAAGTATGGCATTCGAAATCATCTACCACATTTTTCGGACTATAAATTGGATCAGACTTTAAGTCACACTTTTTGGGGGAGAGCAGGAATTGACATTTCACACTGAAAGGCAGGTTACTGTAATAACAATAGAAAAGAGAACAACAGGCTGTTAACGTCACATATGAAGTTCTTCAGAAAACTATAGCATAAACAACAGAACAGAACAAGTTTAACAAACTCTCCATCTCACTCCAAATCACTAAATCCAATGAATTCTTCCTCAGTGTCACTTCTGAGTAACTCCATGACCTCCGGAGGTAAACGGAGCGCCGATTCCTCTTCTGCGCAGCTGTCGTCAGACTCAGCATCAGTTCCAGTTACAATTATTCTGGCCTTTCTGAATCGAGACAGGATGGTTTCGGTTGTCTTTGTTTGTTTAAATTTTAAAATTTTCAGTGGTACAGAAATAATGGTTCGATCGACTAACATGATACAGACAGGACAGAGGCTCTTTCTGCAGGAGACATGCACAGTAGAGCCAAATGACAGTGGTACAGGAGTAATAGGAGCAGCAGATACTGACACACAAGCTTAGAGCCTCTCACGGCTGTCAGTGTGAACACTTCAATATATAAGTCGCAGGATCACCCAAACCATGAAACAAAGTGTGACTTATAGTCCAGAAAATACAATACTTGCAAACATTTATTTCAGTGACAGATGTTTTGATACCTAAAAATATCTTGAAAATATGCATTTTGACATTAAACAGGCTTGCTTCTACACTGATCTAACTGGTAACTCAGCATAGTAGCTAGGATCACTTGCTCACCGTGGAGATAGATACGTTTAATGCCCTGCTGTGGAACATCCCAGGCAAAGACAAGCAGGCAGTAGACCCTCCACCAGAAAAACTGCAAGCACCTTTAACAAAAATATTCTGGTTCAACATTTGTGGATTTTTGTTTGTGCTTTTTATCTTATATTTTGACAACATCAAATTCTGTGATTGCATACAATTCTGAAACGGGCCATTATGTATTCCCTACAGAACAATTCCTACATATTTTAACACATGAAACCCAACCAACTAGTCCAAACTGACCAAAGTTGATGAAAATATATTGCTGCTGCTTCTGTGAGCTAGCACTAAGGTCAACATGGGGCCTGTATCCACCATCTGTTTCCTTTATATTATGTAGCTGAAGTCACTGACAAGATGGAGGAGATGGAGGAGCAAAGGAGAAGTGTGGCAGAGGAAATATTTGTCTAGTCGCCTTAAAGAAAGAAGACATTTGATATAATATCACCTTATGAGTAAAGCTGGGGATCACAGGGTCCCTCGCAATACGATATGATACACCATACTAGAGATTTGTTTTTTTCATGGTCGATGCAAGTAGTGTTTAGAATCTGTTTAGAATTCAGAGGAACCGATGGCCGATGATCTCAGCTGATATACTTTTGGACCAATATGTAGAGCCGATTTAGGTCATTTTCCCCATATTATCAAATAAAAAATTAGCACAAACTCATGCACAACCTTCTTTTACTACAAACTGTGTAGTGTCCAGTTATTTTTGCAGTACCCTCTTTGGACTAAAGTGTTCAAATGATGCATATTTAGGCTGCGGATTGGGACAAACAAAATACCATATTATTTGTGGCTGATAGCCGGTATGCTAAAAAGGGCAAATATCAGCGCTATGATCAGACGATATGAAGATGACACATGCAATAATCAATATATTAAATGATATTTAGTGATAAATCACTATCTTAATAACAATATTTGTTAAAACACTACCTGCACATGTCAAATGTATTGCTTAAACAAATTTCCTTCCTCTAAACAAGCAAAAAAAAATTGTGGTGCTGACACAAAATAATTTGGTAAAATATATTTTTTTAACTTTGCGATGTATCAATACAGCAGCCAGAGATATCAATACTATATCACCAAATATAATATTACGATATATCAGTATTTTAATATTTTTGCACACCCCTACTTATGGGCTTCCAGGCTCATGTTAAAATCCCTCTCTTCATAGGCTTAATCAAAGTTGTATTTTCAGTCATTCATGCCTATATAAGTCATTCTCTTTCAAGTTGTCCTGCTTTCAGCTATGGCCTTGTACTTCTTAAAGTCCATGTGACCACACTTTGGGTTCAAAGTAGGGCAGGGCAATATGATATATCGATTGATTGCAACTTTCATTTTGATTTATTAAGTATTTTCAAAAACAATATTAAAATGGTTGTTTGTACTGATTTCATGAATATGTGTATATTCTAAACACAAAGATTAGACAAATTTCTTCCTCTAAAGTCTGAACTCTGCTCTACCCATGCTTTTACTGAGAGGATTGGCTGTAGACCTCTGGATTCAAAAACCCCAACCATAACACTGACTTTTAGACAAGATCTCTCAATCTTTCAATTAACTGTCCAGCTTTTTTTTTTACAAATAAAAACACAGATAAAAATTCACTGTTTGCTACAGTGAAATGTTACTAGCAATAGACAGGGCCTGCAGCAGTTTGGTGCTGTGCAGAGGGCGATGCAGGGTTAAGGGGCAGGTGAGACTCAATTTAGCATTAATCAATAAACCCGTTTCTATTATTAAGTTATATTAGACCAATAATGTGAATTACAACGAATAAAAAGATCTATGTGGGGGTTAGATTATCACAAAATATTGGAAAAACATAATGTCTTCTTTAAGTGTACAGTGTAATTTTACTGGTCAAGCATCTGTCCATGGAGATGTTGTTTCCTAGACTGGAATGTTCCATGTATGGCATTAAACACATCTATCGAGTATCTATTTTTGTTTAGCTTTTTCTCATTTCATTGTTTTTATTGCTCAGAAATACCTTGAAAAACTTAAGTTCATACAATGAGCAGGGTTACCTCTCCACAGACCTGAACTGTATAGTATCTTGGCCTGGTGGCGCCATCTGCTTGTCTCCTTAGATAAGATCAATAATGCCACATTCCTGTCGAAGAAATAACCTGCAAGTAGCATACCCAATACCAGAAAAGTTACGCAATACACCTTTAACAATACAGCAAGATCTCACTATCAGTAATCAGAGGAAAGTGACGGCAGTGAAAATACTACTTCTTCACACCCGCACAGAGATGTAGGACAGTGAAAGAGATACACTGCTCAAGGTGAACTGTCGCTTCCCCCCTCATGTGTCAGCTCCGGGCGAGTGCGAGGCGGTTGTCCCGGTTACCTGATTTCCACAGTGCTGTCAAAAAAGCACACGGTGTCATTAGTCAGGTGGATCTCCAAAGCTGGTCTCTGGCTCTGACCGCTCCTCTCCTTCAGCGCTGTGGGGTTGATGCGCAAGGAGCCACTCATGCCAAAGTGGACTCTAAGAAGGAGAAAATAAAAACAAGTTTTAAAAAAGCATGTTATAATACGCTGGAATGGTGTTATAATTGTCCTGACTTTAGGAAATAATTTTGGACACTGTTGTATTACATTTTTTATAATAAAGGAGAGCAATATGTCAAAACATTACATTATTATTATTACATGTATGTTTTAATGCAGTAAAACAAGCCAACTGAAAAAAGTAATGTAAATATTAAATAAGTACATTACACAAAGCAAACATGGTGACACTAGGAATAGGTCGATATGATTTTTTTTTGAGCTGATACTGATATCCGATATTTGCCCTGCTGCTGTGACTGATAACCAATATTTGCTGATACGATACGTTACTCCTAAAGCCCATAGTAAGGCCCACAAATGTATTTTAAGTTGAACTAAAGATCACAAATTAACTATTCACTTTTACAAAAAATATTACAAAACGTACTTATCTGGGATATAAAATAATGTGTTAAATGTTTGTATATTTCCATTTTGACTGATTAGTCTGTTCAAAAAGGACACACATAAAGTATCAGTATTGAATATCAGCATCTGGTATCGATATTGGCCAATACAGATATAGGAGAATCTATGTTGATATCGGCCGATACTGATTATGGAACCGATATATTGCCCATCCCTAGGGGGCACATCCACTAAACCTGGATATTAATGCCAGGATATTAAAGGCGCACTGTGTAACTTTTCATACATGCTTGACTCCACAGGATAGAGAGATGTTATTGCTTTTCCTTGAATGTTCCACAGTATGAAAGCTTAATGCATTGTCCTGCATTATAGCTGATTATTTGAATCTAGACACATGGAGACAGTCATGTTGCAATGGCTCCACCAGAAAAGTTACAAAGAGCATTTTTAATCACTGCAAATTATATAGGTTTATTATTTTTATTTTTGTGCAATTACTTAGAATTCATGCTGAACTGTTTTTGCCACAAATTACGCCTATTCAAAGCATTCTACCTTTTATGTCAACCACATAAAAGGCAGAACAGCACATTACATCTGTAGAATAATAACATAATGACTCTGTACCGTAAAGCTTTTAAACCAAAGTACATGAAGAGCTCCTTCCCCAGAGTCTCTACTCCACTGTACTGAGCTCCATGGAGACAGCAGAACGGACTCTCTCCGGGTTTGGTCTGCAGGTACAAAAAAATATATATATTTATTAGCACATTTAATTAGTTACATAAAATTCCTACGATCAGCAGCAATGCAAAAGTGAATTCATGAAATTATTTTATGACAGAAACATGCTCAACAGCCAACAATGCAAAAATAATAGAGATCTTGTTGAAATCACAATTTGAATGGATGCAGTAAACAAATCACTAAGGCTGCAGTTTTTAACGTACCATAATTTTCTCTACAAAGAAACAAAATATCATGTCTTCTTTCCATTTCTGTTTCTTTTTCTGTTTAGGTCTGTACAAACATGGTGTAATACATGAGATTATTTTATTAGTTTGTCAGTTCATAAACAGAAATGTATTATTTGAAACATAAATTGCAAATCTAGTCACAGCCGCAGTCACAAGGCTTGTCTGAAAAATCGCAATTAGCCGAGATATTTTTCCCAGTAGCTCATTATTTTTGCCACGTTAATAGTATAATCATATTCATAGTTTATCACATTTATACTCTTTTATTTGAACAAGAGCAAAAACGAAGAAATCAGAAGTAAAGTAGTGTTTTCTATTCCTTGACATAGATCAGATGTAGGCTTATCTTAATTAAAAATATGGCATACTGCATTATATTGGAAGTGAATACAATGCATAAAAGGGCTATGGGTTAGTAGTGCTCATTGTGATAATTTTACAGCATTTGAGTTATCTATGCATTCCACAATCCACTCCAGGTGATGCAGAAAAAAAAAATCCTGTTTGATACGAGTACATGAACTGTATTTTAGGTTGCATGATCATTCGTGCTAAATGGGCGTATGCACTATTACTTACTGTTGAATTTGTCAGGTTTCCTCTGATTTCCTTTACCGTCTGTCCTTTCCGTACTCTGGCGCGGATTTTCTCTCCATTCAAAGTGCAGCCCGGACCTTCCACCATGTTTATTGCCGGTTTTATTCACGAGATCACCGTGAAATCACACTTTAATGAGAGAAAACCGGAGCGCGTGAAGCCGTGTTATGAAATCTCCGGACCGCGCCACAACATTTGAGTTGACACATGCGCAGTCAGACATGTGTACGGAAGTAGACGTTCAAAATAGAAACGTGACAAAAATGTACCGACAGTGATTTATTTTTAACAGAGAAACCTGATTTATTTATATTTTTTATTTTCATTAACTCATTTATATTTTTAATTTGATTTTTTTTTTTTAAATCCTCACTACTGTAAAGAAGTAATTAAATCATTCTATGTCTAATGCTTTGCTAGTTTTGTACTACCTAAAAACAGTTCATAAACGATTTTTAAAATTTATTTATTTTTTTATTTTTTCCAGAGTGAAATAATTTGATGGTAAAACAACATAAGCCTACAGATACAGAATAAACTGTGTCTTTTGCCTATAAGGAAGATGACATAGTTATTATTTTCAAGATAAACCAATTAATATGATTGTGTCTTGAGAAATCTAATCTATATATACAAAACTTCTACATAAATGTGAGGTTCTGTTTAAGCGAACTGCTGTAGTATCACCAGTTACTCACTAGAGGGAGGCAACGTATCACTGTTAATATAGCAACTCTTAGAAGTGCTATAATAAAACATAACATACCAATTCAATGCCGTATAATATTCCTCCTTGGGCAAACAACAACAGATCCACTCGGGTATGAAAGATTGAATATCAATACACTAATAATGGCTGATTGCAATTAAGACTTGAAAATGAACGAGTTAAATTAAGCTGGGTGACATTTACAAATTGCGATACAGTCTGTGATCAAGTATTAGAACTGTCCTTGTTGCATCGCAGCTGCATCCTGCCACCCCGTGTATCCCTCCTCATATACTCTGTCCCATCTGGCTGGGGCCTGTGGTACACATAAGGAATAATCATTTGTAATAAGGTTGTAAGATTTTCTGCATGGCTTCCTTGTGTAATTGCAACAACTTGTTAGCAGGCACTTAGGTGGGGAAAGATAAAAATAGATGTTCTCTAGCAGCAATGTCCTTCTCCTCTGCAGAGACAGCAACTCAGCAGAACGTGTATTAAACAGTGGCTCAAGGAGAGGACAGCAATTATAGACAAAGATGCTGTCCTGTGAAAGTACTGATACTTTGCAGCTAATGTCATCAGTGTTCTCTGGGGGTGTGAAGCTAACTGGAGGCATGCTCTGTCTAAAGCTCTGTGACTCAAATTACACTTAATCTGATCTTTGTTTGAACACAGTTGGGCTATTAAAAAAAAAAAAAAAAAAGACTTAGCTGGAACTACAACAGGTGAACAGATTTGTGCTGTTAAACAAGACCCTCTCAAATAAAATTACAGTCACCAGCTAGCCAGCATTAGTCAACAGTTTTTCAGTTCGTCACGCTCACCTTTTTTGTTAAAAATCAAATACAAATACCTGAACAGGGTCATGAACTCTTATACTGATGACTTAACCTTACACAGCAGGATGGATTTATGAGTTCACACACTCACAAGAATTCATACTGGAATGCACCCGCTGTTAGGTTAATTAGGCGGGAGGACCAATCACGTCGCAGTATTGAGGTTTGTGCAGAAGCCAAAGGCGAAGCGCCCAAATAAACCAAAACAAACATGGTGACGCTGACAGATGAATGTATTAGTCAGAAATTCATGTTTGTTTTGTCGTCAATACAGACTATTTGGTTTGAGAAAAACATGCACACGGCTGCGTTTTCCTCATCGTTTTCAGTGAGAGCCGTTCCAGAAAGTGTAGAGCTCAATTCAGAGTGACACACATACCAAACTGGTGTAAGCCAGGTTACTGATCACAAGCTCCTGAAAATTTTTGTTTCAATTCATTTTGTATTGTTTTTTCTTGAGTTTTCAGACTTAAATCTTTTTTTGACCATGTTTGCTAATGTGTGCATCGTGTCTCCATAAATTACCCTCAACACCTTCAGCCTGATGTGACTGAAAAGTATAAATTCTCTACAAAGTCAATGCATTGTCTTTTGCATACAGTTGTAATTTATTTGCATATGAAGTTCATATGACTTGGTTAAGTGAGATAGTACTTGTGGTATTTATTTATCATAGTTTTACATCAGTTTAATTTGTAAAAAATAGTTAAGAAGAAAAGTACAAAAATAAAGGATGTAGCACTGAGTTGTAAACAGAATATCTCATACCTCGTGAACAGAAAAAGACAATTACACTCAAGGACAGTATTTTGCTTGTACTGTTATTTATTTGTAGTCTAATCAAAACTAACTGTGGTGTTTGCACAAGTTTGGGCCTTGGTTTAAATGTGGTTGCTAGCTAACATTACCTTTACATTATCATAATCATATCATATATAAACTATCATATTTGCTGCCCATGCCCACCCAGGATACACAAGGATGAACTTCACCCTAAAACTGAGGGACTGAGGGACTGAGGGATTACACAGACATTTTTCCTCTATCTGCCTAGAAGCACATGATAAATTATTGAACACTTTGACAAAAGAAATCATTACCTGAATGACTAAACATTTAAAGTAGCAATTCAACTTAATGTGTCTTTGTTCTCGGCCTGCCACAGTAATTACTATATTGATTTATTGTTTAATAAATGATAGTTGGAACAGTATAGTTTGGGGTTCAGTATTTATCATGTGTACAATTTCTTTGCACAAGTGGGGAGAGCTGGGGGATTTTTTTGTTGTATGGCTAATTATTGATATATTTTGTTATTTATTTATTTATTGCTGCTTTGTTTATTTCCTTTTAATGATACTGTCTATTTAAAGCGGTTTACTGGGATTATCTTGCATCATTGTTATTGTACCAGTGGCATATGATAGTCTCAATATAAATAGCACTATACCTCTGTAACAATGTATCACGACAGGCCTACTCTGTACTAACTAAAAAAAGATGGGTTCTTTGTCATTATTTTGTGATTTGACTTTTATTTGACTCATTTTTCTTCTCCCTGAGTGGCCTTCACCTTCCTTCACTCCAGGAGCAGAGCAGGACATGCAGCCTGTCTGTCAGATCCACAGTTACATAAGAACACAGGTGAGAGATATGAGGCCGAGGAGGAGGTGAAGCAGAGAGTGGAGGAGCAGGTGTGGCACAGACTGGAGACATGGAGAAGGGTGTGTTTGTGTGTTTGTGTGTGTGCGCGTGCGTGTCTGTGTGTGTGTGTGTGTGTGTGTGCGTGCATATGCGTGTCTATGTGTGTGTGAGGAGGGGGACATATCTTTAAAGCAGAGCGTGTGAACAAGGATAAGAGCCGCAAGTCCACACACTGACATGCTCCTGCCTAGATACAGGAGACAGTCATCTGGGATAGAAGGAGTAGACCTACTAGAGTGTAAGGCAGCACAGTGTATGTGGTCCTGTATGACTGTTTGTATGTCATACAATAAGCTGGTGTTGAGCCTGTGGACAGCGCTAGTCCAGACACACTCACCAAGAGTGAAGAACCAAGACTTTGTCTGGGGTTTAGTCGTCCATTCTGACCACATGGTGTGTGGATAAATTTCTAAAGGCCCAGGTTTCAGACTCACACAGGAGCTCAGGGACAGCATGCAAACTAAAGTGCATTGATGAGATTTGTAACTTTGCACTCTGCCACAGTCTCTGGAGACAACCAAAGGCACTGGGACTGCTGCAGATGATGGACCATTTCAAGGGTCTGACAAGCAAGAACAGAGGAATCTTTGATCTAAGATGGACAAATCCTTCAACCACCTCCACCTGCTGTTTGTGGGAAACAACTTTAAATTACAATCTTGTCTGGTGGACAGTAGAAAGCCTGACACATGACACATAAACTCACACAGACAGGAGCCGGGCATGATAAAAGATCACTCTGCAGTACCTGTGCTGTGGTGTCCTCACACTGACACCCGCTCACAGGAGACAGAATCCTGTTTATGCTGTGTATGAGTGTGTCATATGCACAGATACACAGACAGTGTGGAGTCTCAAGGCTGATGGAGATGTGTTGCTATGCAACAGGCACTTCACAAGTGTTCACATGAGCAGCACCAGCTCCGAGCGTGTGTGTGTGTGGGTGTGAGAACAGGCTCTGTGCTCGTGTGTGTGTGTGTGTGTGTGTGTGCGAGCCCCAGTGTTGGGAAGGTTACTTTTAAAATGTATTCCCCTACAGATTACAGATTACATACCCCAGAATGTAGTTTGTAACATAATCCATTAAATTACTTAAAGTGAGTAACGTAATCTGAATACTTTGGATTACTTGATTTGCTGTAAAGAAGCAAAGACGAGGATATTGTAACATGATGTTTTATCTGCTAAAAGAAACTAAAAAGCCCAGACTTTACTGAACCGTATTAAAAATATTATTGATAGAAGAAGAGACACGTCCACGCAGCATGATTTAGTCCTGTTAAACCCTGGTTTAGACCTGGTTTAGACTTGGTTTAGTGTCCGGCAATGAGTGGAATTACTTGGGGAAAAAAAAAAGGGATATAGCCCAAAATGTAAAAACAGGAAAATTGTTAGGATTTGTTTTTTTGTTCTCTCCCCCTCCCTCTTTTGTTGCAGGGCTTGAGTGTGGCAGGGGGCGTGGCTGGCTTCTTCCGGAGCAGATGAGACACACCTGCAATCAGTTCCTTCATCAGCCTCTGTATTTAGCCCTTCTTCTCACCACCACTTTGCCAGATAATTCCGTCCTGTTTGTCTTGGATTTACCTGCTCCTGTTTTTGCCCATGTGTCTCTGTGGTTGTCTGCCTTTGCCTCTGGAGAAGCCGGTCAGCTCCCTGCCTCCTCAGCCTGCCTTCCGTTTGTAAAATAAACTGTTTAAAACTTGACTGAGTCCTGGCTCTGCTTTGGGGTCCCTCTTGCCAAACCTTAACAAAAATACCTCCATGTAATCCATTTACTTCAACAAAGTAACTGTTATCCAATTACCACTTATTGAAACAGTAACTGTAACTTAATACAGTTACTCATAATTTGTACTCTGATTACGTAACTCTGGTACATGTAATCTGTTACTCCCCAACACTGGCGAGCTCACGTGTGTTTGTGTGTGTGTGTGT